GATAGACAGATAGACAGATAGACAGGTAGACAGCTAGACAGATGGACATATGAAAGAGAGAGAGAGAGAGAGAAAGATAGATAGATAAATACATAGATAGATAGATAGATAGATATATAGATAGGTAGATAGAAAAATGGATAGATAGATAGATAGATAGATAGATAGGTAGATAGGTAGATAGGTAGATAGGTAGATAGATCGATAGACAGATAGACAGATAGACAGGTAGATAGATAGATAGACAGACAGATAGATGAAAGAGAGAGAGAGAGAGAGAGATAGATAGATAGATAGATAGGTAGGCAGGTAGATAGTCAGAGAAAGAGAGAGAAAGAGAGGAGACCTCAAGCAGCTTTCGGTCCATCAGTGGATTCGCTCTGCCTTGGAACATTCACAACACTCAACCTCTCCTATAGGTTTCCTATTTTTGAAACTTCCGCCACCGCCTTGTGCGGTACTACTGGTATATTATATATATATAAGTATATAAATATATATTTATTTATTTATATGTATAGTATTCATCTATCATCAGGTCTGAGGATGTAAAAAGTTCACGCAAATTCAACGCCAAGGTGTTTCATTTTCTGGTGTGAATCTGCTTAAACAACTTGTTGTGTCCACTAGAGAATAAGCATTTTCTGGAACCCGTTCCATAAGGTTCTCTAGACTCTGAAAGAAGTAATGGCAACAGGGATTCAAATTGAACATCTATCGGGCCGCCTTACAAAGCTCACGAAGCCAAGAAGGAGAGAAAGTATACCTCAGGAAGCGTCTCAAAACATGAATGCCAGACAAAAATTCGTAAAATAGTTGGCAAGCCAGATAAAAGTCTGACAGGAAATGAGCTGGGAAACGATTGTCATCATATGCTCCTCTTTTTCCAAAAGTTTCATACACATTCGATACGCATTGGCGCCACAACAAACGGCAAGCGCGGAAACAGAAAGTGTAATTACGCCAAACATGATCCAAACATGATATGAAGATGATCTGAGATATTTGCGTCATGTACGCATTATGTACATGAAATTACATGTGGTGCATGCGTGAGCCATGGAGGCACAAACACCAATGGAACGTGAAGCCGGCGTCAGCGTTTTCCCAGATTGCACGCATTGGAAGATGTTGAAAGCTTCAGCATCGTCAGTATTGGAGTTGACTTGGATGTTTAGAGTGAGGTTTATGTGAGGTTTGTGACGGGTTATATACGGGTTATGTTTAGGCTACCTGGTTGCCTGAATCTTAACATCGTTTGTGACGTACTGTAGCTTTGAAAACACCGTATCATAGAATCACCTGTGACTTTGCCAAGTTTGCCGGTGATGGCCAACGCCGAAGCATACTGAAGCTACACCGAAGCTTTGTGAGCAGCTAGAGTCTCGCTGAATGATCTACCGACAGCTTAAGGTCAACTCAGACGCTAAAGGATGATAGGAGTGCTGTTCAACTGGGTCGATGCTCAAATCATCATGTCCTGTTGCGATCTCAACATAGATGTCAGGTCTGACACGGCCCCCCATCGCAATGCCTGCCGGGACGGTGGAACCACGTCGAACTCCACACAGTGACAAACAAATCTTGGAAACGTGAAGAAGAAGTATGAAATGCAGAAATTGTATTGTAACGGTTGCAAACAAGTCCATCCTAAGGTCCTCGCTGTGCAAATGCTTTGCATGCGGATGCCACACTGACATCCGCCAAAAGAAATGTTCAAACCACTGATCTTGAGCGCAAGATTAAGCTAAAATCCTAGCGACAACCATGCTACAACCATGTAAGTGCAAAACACTGGCTAGTATCCCAAAAAGTTCTGGCATAGTTCGGGCATCAGGTTGCTGTCCGCCTCGAGATTCGTGGATTTTCCTTTGTTTCCGCGTCCACGAAAGCGTCCAAGGCCAGGTCTCAGTTGTCTTGTCGCGACGGGCTCACAAAGGATCTACACAGCAAATTCTCAGCGACTGAACTTCACAAATTTCCAAACCAGCCTGAATCCAGTTTGATATCATTGCGATATCACGCTGAAATCATTCTGATGAGGTCTTCAAATACTTCCCTACAATGTACCTGCAATGTATCTATACTATACCTATAATGTACCCATACTTCCCTATACTTGACTTATGTAGGGAGTATAGAAGGCGGCCATGACAAAATCGTAAAACGCGCGCAGCGCACAGGCAAAATGGAAAGCACTCCATGGAAGAAACGATGGTAGAGCCATAGATGGAACAAAGCAAGGGTGTGGAAAGATCTGCAAACAATGACCAAAGAATTCGTTTGAACTGCGCTGAAGCTCTGAAGACATTCATGCAGCAATGCAGCTCGAACGGCAGTATCTGACAGCCGCAAAAGCCGCCCAAGAAAGGCAGGCAAACTCTTGAGGCCCCCTGCGCGAACCATCTGCCATCATGGTTGCGAAAGTGATCGTCAAAGTAAAAGCCCCTGCCAGCTCGATCAGGACGTACACGGGTCAGGCCTCGGCACTGGATAACAGCGATGTCATCTAAAACGTTATACATGCATTGTATCAAAATGCAGTGCAAATATCAGGCATACCCATTGAAAACGGAAAAGCCCACATTGACATGAAAGTCCAGGACATGACAATGACATGACACATGTTGGAAAAATGATCACAAAGCTGTCACAAAGACGGCAGCAGGACTGCTGTCATCCTCAGTCCATGACTTGGCGGAGCGCCCCATGGCGGGAATGTTCTTTGCACCACCTTGTGACCAAATCACGCTGAGATTGCACAAACGAATGTCGAACAAAATTTGAAGCACATTCCAATAACATTTACACTGGATAAGTGCATGGCAAGTGCAGTGATCTATCAACCAGCCCAAAACTTATTGAAAACTTGCAACTATCCTGGGTGGGGTCAGAACAACTGCACGCTGAGTGTTACACTGGAAGCGTTCCCATTGACTACGATGTCCACGCCTGCTGCGGTCACAAAAGTGCAGGCAGCAAACCAACCACGTGAATGTCTAACCATCCGATGAAATCAATTTTCAAACTATTGGAGCGCGAAGCCCCTCCCCAAAAATCGGTTACAGTAGTCACATTGCAATTGGAAGCCCCTCCAAAAAAAGTCCACCAAAACCGTGGCGTAGGCACGGCGGCCAAGTTCTTGTTGGATCCCGCAGGCGCGGTCTGCAATTGTCGATGCTGCCTAGTTAGTTGATGTTAGTTGCCTCACACTCTCAACATTTTTTTGGCCCGTCAACTCTTAGAAAAAAACGCAAAACACAAATCCCTGATTCCTGCCAAGTAGGATCTGGAAAATCGATTTTGGGCACTTCTTGGTGGATGTTTGCTGTTTGTTTGGTGGGCGCCAACGGCCAAAGCACGGGAAAACTACTTCTTGCAACATGGTGAAAACTGCGTAAATACCAGTGTTTTTGCTAGGTGCTGTCAAACATATTGTAAATACCGTGGCTGTTGGCTTGCCAGGCGCCAAAAGAATCTCTATTTATAGATTTATGGTGTGTTTTGTCCTGAAGGCCTTCAAAAACTGGCAGCTTTTGGGGGCCCTGAGCGCATCACCGCCATCATCAACAACAACAGCAGCAACAACAACAACAACAACAACCACAACAACAACAGGAACCACAACCGGAACCCTTGGGGCATGGCCGGTCTGCGAAGCCCTACAATATATATATATACATATATACATATATATACATATATATATACATATATATATAAATATATATATATACATATATATATATACATATTTATATTGGATATCATGGAGATAGAATGGGACATGTAAATGGAAGATGTGGCAAACACATGGGGAAAATATGAGGCGCATTACCAACAACTCATGGAAAATCTGCAATATCATAGGAATATGAAGCGGTATGATGGAATAGTAATTTCACGGTAATGATGATATGTATGGATATGTATATATATATATATGTACACCAAGTTTCCTTCAGAACCAATAGGGATATGACATAGGATTTATATAACTGTTAGAAATGCTATATACTGCATATGCCCTCTGGTAACCTACAGCAACAGTTTGCCATGGAAAACGGCCATGTTCAATAGGTAATTCATTCACTTTCGGTTGGAATGTTTCATGGCTATCTTAAATCACCGGGATATATGATAGATCTATGGCGAAGATATGACGGATACCTTCACCATAGATCCTGCCATGAGCTGGCTTGGAAGACTACATTCCCCTGGGAAGTGGTCATTCTCGGGTCTATGTCAGATAAGGGATGGTACATGGCAGAGATACAGCAGATATATGATACATGTAGGTGAAGACAATAGGAACATCACGGGGGGTTCATGGGGATGCAATGTGGATATAATGGCGATATGATTGAGTACATAATGGGTATATCATATCGCAATGGGATATACAGTATATCTAGAATAATGGGAGATGAAAACAACCATCATAGAGATATCCTGGAAAAGAATGGGGATAGTGCGGATGCTATGGAGAATATAGTGAATATAGTAGGAACATAGTGCAGAATGAGCAGCGGGGATGTGTTTCAACTCTTTCAAGGACATATTGGTTTTGGATTGGTTGTGGGAGAATTACCAGTTTTGACCAATGATCATCATAGCAATCGATGTCAGGTGTAATCATCAACTCAAATCCTCTTCCACTTCCAACGACTTCAGAATCTCATACTGCAACCCATTCCAACCGCAAGAAACTGTCTTTCCCAACCATCATCCCATCATCCATCCGCCATCATCCATCCACTCTGCGTGTTACAGCAATTATTGATCCTCACCTTTCCATTACTTTCCCGATATTCAACTCGATTTTCTGCCAAAGACATGTGCCATCTATGTAAATATTCCATATCATTAAATAAGTATAATATCATAAATAAAAATAATACTAATAGTAAAAGTAATAATAATAATAATATGTATGTATGTATGTATATATATATATATCATATTCTCCAAACGTATCCCCATAAATTGTTGCCAACACATTACCAAACATCAATGAACCCATCTCGAGATGTCTCAAGCGGACCCACCCCTCCCACCGGGGCCTTGAAGGGCCCCTTCTCCACATCCGCCCAGAGATCCGCACGGCTGTTGGTCCCTCCGAAGCCGAAGGACGACACCCCGGCGCACATGGCGCGCCGCGCCGAACAGGTGAGCTCCTCAGGGCGGAAAAGTGGGCGGATTGAGGTGACTCTGGGAAGTCTGCCCGTTATATGTGTGAGATGTGGAACTCATACATATACATATATAGGAATACATATAACTGATGTGTACAGGATGTGTACATATGTATATATATTATTATATATATATTATATTATATTATATTATATTATATTTTATATTATATATTATATTATATATTATATTATATATTGTTATATATATATTATACTATATATATATATATATGCCCTTTGTTATAACCTACGGTGTTACGAATGAGGTGGTGGAGAACAACGAATATTTAAACCCACCAAGCAGATCACCTATTGCTAAGATTTGCTAAATGGGATGTCCATGGTGATTTTAGTGTCCTAATGGATGGATGTTTTGCGTCACCCATTCAGCACGTGGGATGATTTGGTTCCGCAGGGTCCTAAATGATCTGTGCTGAGTGAAAAACCGGAAGGGTTCCATTCTAGGTAACTCAAAAACATATAGGAAAAACTTTCAAATGTTGCCCGTTTTAGTAGTGTTGTTTACCCACTGAATTCTTTTTGTGTCCAACAGAATGGAATATTGGGGCTCAAGAATTGGCTCGTTCTGATCCTCGTTCTCTTCTCTAGAACTCTTAAAGGAAAAAGTTGCTTAGTGCAAGGCTGCAAGTCAATCCGCACGTTGCAGTTGTCGACAACTTCTACCCTCCTGCAAAAAAACAGGTCGATGTGGAAAACCCAGCATTTTTGTAAATCATGTTCCGAACAGAAAACCATTGGTTTTCCACATCTCTGTTAGTAAATTGTTCATTATCAATCTCAATCATTGTATTCCCATGATATTCCAGAATTATTGGTAAACACTGACACTACTATAACCATGGCTTCATATCTTCCCTATATTTCATAGGAAAAACCAAGGGCTTTCAACCGCCATTGGTAAACCATGGCACATTGGTGAACATCACCGGATAGGCGACCACATCCAGATGCGGATTCAGCGCGGTCAAGTGCGGGTTGGGCGTACTGACGCCACCATTCAGCAGCATCACCACCTGGTCCAAGCATCGAACTCTATGGGGGATTTTCGGATGATTACCGGCTGTGATTTTTCAGCATCAGATCGGGGTTGAAGCATGAAAAATATGGAGATATCATAATGATTGGCGTCGGTTTCGGTGACCATAGTAGCCTCTGGTCACTTAATGTAGTTATGGAAAATCACCATTTCTTAGAGGCAGATCATCAGAAATCAGCGATAAATGTGCCATTTTCATCCATTTTCCATAATTAATCATAATTAATCCATAGCTATGTTAAATAACCAAATGGTAGTATCCCTGAATGTATATCGGTTCAAATAGAATCAATGTTGCAAATATTATGTTAGAAGTATTGTTTTGGTTGATGATAATGATAATATTGATATGTGGAAACATTACTGTAATATGTTAAACCCAATCATGAACCGACCATTTGGGAAGTACCAGTATTCTATAGATATATAATTATATATATAGCATATTTAATTATTTGTATTTTTGACTATGACCACTATTGTTTTTATAAGTGTTATTATCAGTATTGTAGGTGATTTTAAGGAATAGTGGTTGGACGGTACCGTTGGAAGACACGGGGTTGATGAGAATAACAATAACAATATTATAGTAAAATAATCAACGGTGGTGATCATTGCGACTATAGGAAAACCATGGGATGTAAAGTGAGTTGTTGTTTTCTTAGATATGATCAGTTGGTGGACATCCGTCATTTCCCACAATAATCTAAGAAAATCAGGTCGTATAATATATATGTATATATATATATGTATATACATATATGTATATATATATATATACATACATGTATATGTATATATACATATGTATATATATATATTATATAATCCATATTATAAAGTAATCAACGAGAATTCACAAATGCTTGACCTTCTGTGAGAAATCCATGATGTTTTTGAATACATCCATGAGTCCATGACTGATGAACATCCCGGCGGGTTGTTTATCGAACCCGCGTTTTCAACGTTTGCAGTGTTCGTCATTGATTTCATACCACAAATCACAGTGGTTTTGCATCTCTCTCAAATTTCAATTTCCTTAAAAAGTACGCGCGTACTTTTCACTGGATATGTAAAAAAAAACCTCAGCAGCACTCTCTTTTTTTCTGCGCTAAGTGTTCTTCACAATTTCTGCAGTGAGCTTGGAGAGGTTTTTGTGGGAACTGTTTTCCCATCTCCACTGCCAAGCGCGAACATGCGTCCAAATCTTGCCATTGAGCAAGACTAACGTAGACTAACGTAGCATCATATTATATGTGAGGAAGTGCAAGACGACATACAGTAGCGTTGCATCATGTATGTGAGGAAGTGCAAGACGACGTACACTAGCGTAGCATCATATATGTGAGGAAGTGCAAGACAACGTACAGCAGCGTAGCATCATGTATGTGAGGACGTGCAAGAAGACGTACAGCAGCAAAGCATCATGCATGCGAGGAAGTGCAAAAAGACGTACAGCAGCGTAGCATCATGTATGTCAGGCAGTGCAAATGAACGTTATTACCCACCCCACCCCACCCCACCCCACCCCGTTAACCCCATGAAAGACATAGAAACATGCAAAACGCTGGTTCGGTTTTCAACCCGTAGGCATGAACATGGGCCAAGTACCATGACCTGTTTCGTCCATGTCCATGTCCAAAAGGGTTTGCTTGCTGATGTTGTTCCAGGGCCCTGGGGCCCTTTTTGGTTGACAGTCAGTTGGCACAAGCGAAGATAAATCAGATCCTTTTAACTTCTGATAACATTGGTGGCAAGTGTCAGCACTTCCGGATTAAATCCATTCTGATATTCTGACATTCAGTTCAATGATGAGGCATGCTGTTTCCTAGTGATCCATACTGATTCTGACGTTGTTTCCACATGTATTCTGAGACTGACATTTATTTAATATAAAAGAAGTACAGTATTATTATTATATATGATGATGATGATTATTATTATTATTTATTTTTATCTTTATCATTTTAATGATTATATTATTAATTATTATTTTATTATTATTTATTTCTGCATTTTAAGTAATATTTTTTCTAGGTAACTTTCAATAGATCATTATATTTTTCACTCCAGTCGGCTCAGGGCCGCCGTGGCAGTCGGCACAAAGCCGCCGCTCATGACACTCGGCTCGAAGCCGCCGTGTTGACTCGAGCAGCAGATCCTATTATTGGATTTGAATATGTTAAATAATTGATGTCCTGCGTCGATCAGACCCCTATTGGTACAGCCTCAGATTTCTTGCAATGCAAATGGGTTAGCTGTAGCAAATCCTATTGGCAGGGCTATGATCTAGGATGATATAAGGATATGGGGGCCCCTTGTTTTCCTTAACCAATTATTATTAAATTTTAATGGTTGGCGCGATGTGCATCAATGTCGTGGACAGCTCTCAAGAAGTTGGTTGTCCCATCCGACACCCAGCGATTACGAGTTGGAATAAATCATTCCATTGCGGGCGGAAAGCGTGGCAGGTTTTGTCGGTGCTCCGTCTGCGCCGTCTGTTGCGTCTGTTCCGTCTTGCGCAGTCTTGCGCCGTCTTAGCTTGCCATCTGCACCGTCTTGCGAGATGGTGCAGATGGTGAGCGCAGCAATTAAAACAACCGCGCTATGCGACCGCAATGTTTCATTCCAACCAGCCAGAGTCCCTCTCTCCGCTGGTGTCTCTCGCCCGTACCTCCCGCCAGCGCCAAACAAGGAGACAGCAAGCAAGCAAGCAAGCAAGCAAGCAAGCACGCAGGCAGGCAGGCAAGCAAGCAGGCAGGCAGGCAGGCAGCAGCAAGCAGCAAGTAGGCAGCAAGGAGCAGCAAGCAGCAAGCAAGCAGCAAGGAGCAGCAAGCAGCAAGCAAGCAGCAGGTAAGCAGCAGCAAGCAGCAGCAGCAAGCAGCAGCAAGTAGCAGCAAGCAGCAGGCAAGCAGCAAGCAAGCAGCAGGCAAGCAGCAAGCAAGCAGCAAGCAGGCAGCAGGCAAGCAGCAACCAGTGTTTGCCCCCTTGAAAGAATGATCAAATATACAGAGTTTTAAAGATCAACGTAATTTAACACAAAAATTGAACTTTTCCAGCCACACGGCCCCATAACCATGAAATCACCAAAATTGAACTTTTTCCAGGCACACGGCCTCCCGATACGACTTTTATGAGCTGATACGACTTAACGCTAGCATTGTTAATATTTAATATTTTCAGATATTTTTCGCTCCAGTCGGCTCAGGGCCGCCGTGGCAGTCGGCACAAAGCCGCCGTGGCAGTCGGCACAAAGCCGCCGCTCATGACAGTCGGCTCGAAGCCGCCGTGTTGACTCGAGCGGTGCGAATGCCCTGGGCCAAATGATCCCGACCAAGACTTTTTCACTAATGGCTTGGGTCAGTCACATGAGCCATACCAATCGGCTGAAAGAACTCTAACAAGCGATTTTTTTCCACCAAGCTCGTCGTGTTGGCTGGCTATTCCTTAGCCAAGTTTCTAGGGGCAGCTACTGATACGCACTCATTGCTCAGTGGCAGCGGCAGCCACAGGCTCAGCAGCAGCAGTGGGTTCAGGCTGAGTGTCAGTCGTAGCAGCATCAGGGCCCACCATTCCAACCAACTCTTCTTGCACCTGAGATTGAGCTGCACGAGCTTTGTCAGACAATTTACGAAGGAATCGCATTGTCCTGCCCACGTCTTCGCGGCTCACGCTCATCTTCTCCAGCAGCCCAGGGTCTTCGTCAAACTTGTCATCCAAGTCATCGGCAATGCAAACGAGTTGGAGCGCCAATGCACCAATCTCAGCAAGTTCTCCGTAGAGCTTGACTTTTGCCATGGGTTCCATCGCTGCTGCGGCTGGTTGCACCTCAGCTTCTGCTGTTTTCTCAGCCATGGGCAGTGAGCAAAGCGGAGGGTTGGCATAAAGTTAGGTTTGGGCCAAAACTCAAAAACACAGCAACAAGTCGACTTCTGACATGTTCACGCATGGGATTCAAGGGAACCTCAGACTATATTTGCCAAAACTTTTCACACAGACATATCGCTGCGTCAATGGCTCACACTGCCCAGGTACCGCTTTCAAGCAAGCAGAAATCTAAGAGTCTAATGTCAAAAGGGAGCACTTTGGCTTGTCAGCCCAAAATGGGTCGACTCCCTCATGCGACCCAAAGCTGATCAGCTCAGTGCTCATGGGGCCATTGGCTCGACACAGAGCGGCCTTGACTCACCAGCACTCGGAGGATTTCTCGTCGCTGTCCTCTCCGTCCTGTTGCTCATCTTCCTGCTTGTTCTTCTTGGCCTTCTTGTTGGTCGTCTTTTTGACTTCGGTCTCCTCGTCCTTGGTCTCCTCGAGGTTCTCCTCGTCTTTGTTCTTGCGACGCTTCTTCTCCACAGGGTTTGGCTTTGCCGCGTTCTTGGTCCTCTTTTTGGACCCTGCTTCGTCGATCTTGTTCTCCTTCTTTGTCTCGTCTTCATCCTTGGCCACGGATTCAGGTCGATAAAAGGTGCTGCCTTCACGAGAGAGCTCACTGAGGATGTACTCCGTCAGAAGCAACTCCAGGCGGGATCCATGAACCTCCGTGCCGCAAATTGCGATGGCTTTGGTTCGCGAAGCTAAGGAGGCTTTGAGAAATTCACCTTGGCCCGGAGAAACATCTAGCACGCAAGTCGCACAGTAGCTGTGCAGCATTTCCTGGTAGAGCTCAGTAGGGCAAACGCAAGAACTGAAGACACTTTCTTCTGCCGACGGATCCTGATTCCCACCTTGGTCTTGGGTCAAAAGAATGGTGCGCTTCTGACCGAGGATCTCCACTTTCTCTTTCCTGCCATGGGTTACGCTTGTTGATTTGTTTTTTATGTTTAATTCATGAATGCAATCGCTAAACTGCAAAGAAGTGGTAAACTGAACAAGTTAACACACATAATCAATCCTGCTCATCTTCCACATCTGGCTGATGGGCATGGCAGTCACGAAGCCAATGATGTCTCCAGACGAAGTTCCACTGTAAATCTGGCGAGGCTTCTCAGGAAGAATTACTCCCAGGCCTTTGTCGGAGTAGAGGGTCAGTTCCAACCTCTGTGTGTAGGAGTGACCCCTCACTTTCTTCTTTCTGCCACGAATGCTTTCCTTCATGACACAGGGAATCGTGAAAAAATGATGACGAGAACACAAGGAATTAATTGAACATCATGACATGCAAGCCAAGCTAAAACCAGAGTCCTCGTTGAAGCACAACCAGACAGTCTGCGCAGTGCTGTCTTTCAGGAATCCCTTAGGCACCACATTCAGAGGATCGATGACAGCAGCCAGTACTCCTTCGCCAGGTGTGGTGCACTTGCCGTTCTTGTCTTGTTGGGCTCCTAGGGCAGTCAAAGCAGAGCCAAGCAGCTTTTGGAGTAAGGCCTCGTCCGGTCGCCAATTCTTTCTCAAACCTTCTTGGCAAGAGGGGCCAGTGGTTTCACCCAGCAAGCTTGTATCCATGTGCACCAGGATGGCAGACTTTCCAACTTCGCCACTCGGCAGGTTGAGTTGCTCAATGCTGGAAACAACGCCTGCTGGAGTGCTGCCCTCCGTGAGGAAACTGCAATACATTCGGACTGTTTGGTTGGCAATGGCTCGCCAGTACTGGGGTGAGCCTTGTGGCAAGGTGTTGGGGGTCTTCCGAGCAAGCTGGAGCAAGTTGTCATGGCTGCCAGTGTCGGGGCCATCTTCTTCCTCTTCGCTTTTGCTTTCTTTCTGCAGCTGGACCTTCTCTTCTGCCAATTCGTTCTCTCGTGCGTTGGTGACTCGCTTCCAAGCTTCCTGGATATGCTCGCTTTCTTGCAGGATTTCCGGGTGCGAGTTGGGCTTCATGGCTTGGCGGATGACGTTGTCAAACTGCTTCAGGTACACCACGTCATGGACAAACTCCAAGGCTTCCAAGGATGACTTTGCCAAAGCCGATTGCCAGCTCAAGTTTTCAACTGTGTTTCTTCGGGCTGTAGGAGGGTCACACAGCCGTTCTTTGAGCAGCATCCGGTCAGAATCCTTCAGCTTGCCCTGGACAAACATGATGTCGAGGATGTAGCTGAGGCAGCGCCATTTGAACTCGAACAAGTGAATGACACCCACATTGTTAGAGGAGCCAATCATTTGTTTCTTGCCCAGGTCGTCGTCTTGGATCACCCCGTGGCACAGCAGGTCGTCCATCAACTGAAAAATGAAGCGGCGGGCTGCGATGCAGCTCGGTCTTTGGGCTAACTTTTCCAGCTTCACCAGGCTGTTGAAAGGGCTGTCGGAACCTTTGAGAACTTCAAACTTGGTCACAATATCGGCAATGATCTTGTCAGAATGGAGCTTTGTATAAATGGTCTTGGCAGCCACAAAATTCCATTCGACGTAGTTGGAGACATCCGTGGCTGACTGCCCTGCGCCTTTCTGCGCAGTCATCAAATGCTTTGCTTTCAAGCCTTGAACCACTTCAGCTTCTGAAAGCTTGCGGTTCTCCAACTTCTCCAAGAGAGCCTCCCGCCATATGTTTTAATTTTTTTTGTCAATGAGGCCAACTTTGGCTCAAAAAGGAAAATATCAAAAATTGCAAGGGAAAGGTAGCCTGCAAATGGTAGAGCTCAGCAGCATTTTGCCAGGCGGTGCGCGTCAAGGACTCATGCTCCTGCGCCACCATTTGACGCTTGTTCAAAGCATGCACCCACACATCTGCTTCACTGCAAGCCGTCATCGTCACTGGCACTGCAGTCCTCGTCTCCGATGTTTTTTTAGAAGCTATAGCAGGGCAGGGGGACAAATAAAATTATAAGCCGAAAAAGGATCAGGAACAAAAGTATAAAGTAATTATGCAATAGTGCGACGAGAAGCAAAGCTTGTTTCCACGCTTCTCTGCAAGCAGCAGTGACGCTATCGCGACCCAGTTCCTCTGCAGCCTTCAGCACAATGGCGTGGATGATCTCCAAAGGAGAAATGACCACCAAGCCGCTTGGTTTTTCCGTGAGGGCCCCGACGTCCACCTGAACTTCCAGCAGCTTTTGAAAAAAGTTGTTGTTGCGGTCATCCGGGAAGTAGAACTTTGCAAGGCCTGCAATGCGGTCACGCGACAAAGGGACGCCAGGAGCCGGATTTTTCCACATGTCCAGCCAGTAAAGGTTGCAACTGGAAATGTAAGTTCCATGTGCCTCCAATGCAACCTTCGCCTTCTGCAAGTCGAAGCTGTCCTGCAGTCATTGGTCTCCAGAACACGAATTGTAGTTTAATCATTTTATTGAAACTCAGGTCCTGGATTCCAGTCTTGTCATGCACAGTCGCAGCAATGGGCGTTGGCAAGATTTCCTTCAGGTCGTTGCCGAGAATCTTCGAAATCACAGCTAAGTCCTGCTTGACTTGCTCATAGTAGTCACCATTGCAAGCAGACGTGTCCGCAGGAGCAGGAAATGCAGCACCTGACGACCTAGCTCCGCTTCCAGCGCCTGGTTTGGCAGCGTCTTTGGCATTCGCTTTGGCTGCTTTGGCTTTGTTCTTGGCACCAGCTGCGCTTTGCTTTTGTAAACTGGCATCGTGTTTGGACTGCTGCACCAAGCGAACCAACCTTTTGCGTTCATCATCCTTCAGCCTAATTTTTTCTTCATCGCTAATATCTGTGGCCAAGTTTGCCTCCCAAGTGGCGAGGTCTTGTTCCACGCTGTTTTGCTCAGCCTTGTTCAATTTCCACGCGGAAGGGTGCTTCGTGGGCGCCATTGCTTCCGTGCAAACCGTGGACAGCACACAAATCCTTTTGAGGCTAAAAGTGGAACAGCAGGGGCGCAAGAGATTGCAAACATTGTTTCTGACAAAAAGTAATTTTCAACTGTGGTTGAACAGGTTTCAAGAACAACAGCACGCACGAGCCCGTTGGTTTTCCAGCCGGCTTTGTTAGCGACGATTGTGGTAAAGTTTGTTTGCCAAGAGCCCAAGCTCATCTGTTGATGTGGAGGACCAAGGGTCTGAGCGCTTCAACGATGATGGCCACAATCCAGCAGCAGGAAGGGCACGTAGCAGGATGCGCATGAGCACATTGACGCTCATACTGTCGCCTAAGGCGCCCATGACTTGTTTTTCAGCAGCCTGTGCATCTGCACTTTTTCCTTTCTTCACGAGAAAGCCCTGAAGGTCTTCCACTAAGCGTCCAGGTACTCCTTGAAGGCGTCCACACTCGATGCTGCTCAAGCGTCGCAACTGCTTTGGCAAGTAGTAGCCTTTGGAAAGACAACGTGTGCGAATCAAGCACGGACAGTGCTCAGAGTGTTTGCTTTGCCAACCTGCACTGGCACCAACGTCTAAGACTAAATTTTCCTGCCAAATTTTGCTTCCATACTTTGATTCGTATGTAGGCAAAGGCAGCTTCTCATTTCCTTTGACTGCACTGTCCAAAAATGACACGAGGCGAGGGCATTTCAGAGGCTTCGGAAACTTGAAGGACACTTTCTGCCTTTGGTCGCAACGAAAGGCAACCAAATAACAGCGGCTTCGACTTTGAGGAATTCCATGCTCTTTGGTAGAAAGCTTCTTGACGTAGACCTTGTACCCAAGCGCTGCAAAGCACTTCTTCATCACTTTGTGTGTCCGGGCATGGCGCTTGTTCAAAAAGGCAGAGACATTTTCTAAGATGACCAGTGCAGGTTTCCGATAGACTATGTACTTCAAGCCTTCAAAGATAAGCAACCCTCGCTTCTGCCCATCCTTTGCTCCAAGCTTCCGACCACAGCTGCTGTAGGCAGGGCAAGGAAAACCTGCGATGTACACATCGCTGGATTTGGTTTCAGTCAAAGATCTGTCAAAAATGTCCTGCTCCACCAACTTCTTCTCAGTCTTCAAGTCAAAAGCTTTATGCACAGCTTGCATCATGCTACGCTTCGCAGAATCGTTTTCGCTTCCACCAACGAATTCCATGTGCTCGGATGTCAAACCAAGCAGAGACAAAGCAATCGTCTCCGAAGAAAGTCCTGCACAGTCGGCAAAGATACGAATTTTTCCAGCTGGCATCTTTGGAGAGCCACGCTTGGATTTGTGCAGCTTCACGAAGGCTCGTAGATTGTCTATATGCTCCTCGACGACATAACTTGGAAGTTCAGGCGTCTTCCGCTTTGTCGCTTTCATTCTCAGCTGTTGTCTTTGGCTTTTGGCAGCCGCGGAGGACATGGCCACGAACGCAAAACGATGTTGATCTGTTTGTTCTAGTTAAAATGGATCATATGTCAACACAAAACGATGTTGATCTGTTTGTTCACACATTAATATAATTTATCATATGTCAACACAAAAACGATGTTGATCTGTTTGTTCACACATATAATAATATAATTATCATATTTCAGTGAATTTCTTGAACATGAAAGTAATGAGGCTGAAATAAATGTGAAAGCAGCAAATGCTTAAAGCGACTTTATCATTTACAATGCTGAAGGTGGGCCGAAAGAGGTTTTGGCCGATTGATTTTTTCGGAGTTGGGATCCCCGAAATTTCGCCGAGAGGGGGCTAGCAAATTGCTAGTCCCCTCTCACACACCCAGACCGGCCCGGAGCCGTGAGAGAGGGCTAGCATTTCGTTGAGAACCAGCTAGCAAAAGCAATTTCCCTGCTCCTCTCGCAAAACGCTAGCCCCCTCTCACACACCCAGACCGGCCCGGAGCCGTGAGAGGGGGCTAGCAAATTGCTAGCCCCCTCTCGACAGTCCAGACCGGCCCGGGTCCGCGAGAGACAGCATCGTTTTCCCAGAATCTGTTCAGTCTCTTTTTTTGATCTGATGCTTCCTTTCTCCAAATGTTTCAAGTAGCTTTCCTACCTTCCCAGAACAACCCCTGATTCAAAGGACAGCAACCAAAAAACTTTTGTCTTTGGCTTCACACTTGTCTGTCAAGTGCTTCACAAACCCCGATTTCTGCAGAGTCAGGAAAGACTTCTTTTGTAGGCTTTTAGCTTCCGGATCATCCTCGGCAACCAACGATATGGACCTGTTCTTGTCCAGCCTCTCCACTTTGAGTCTACGCCAGCCAGTGGTTTGCACAACCCAAGACAGGACCTTCATGAAAGCCGTATGCTTCGCTTGAAATGCAGCGGAGCAATGAATACCAACGTGAAATTCTCGAAGTCGGTTGAAAGCAGCCTTCTGGTACTGCAGTTTGAAGCCTTGTCTCCCTTCCAGCACTGCTTTCGATAGCACACAGCCACCACAAGCAACGGCAAGCAAGTAGATCTTCTCTGAAACGACTTCGGAAGAAGCAATGAAAACATCAGCCAAGCGTGGATCCTGCAAGTCTAAGATTAAATACGACGATGAAAAGAAGCAAAGATGTGCTTAAACAAATAATCTAAGCCGAGCATCTGAGACATATACCAAAGGAAGCAGCAAGGGTCGAAGTCCGGCTTCCTCGCAGTAAGTCTTTCTGGCACCCAAGGATTTGAAATTCCATTGCTGTGCGAAGCATTTGTTTTGCAATTCTACTTTGTGCTTCGCCATCATTTGAATGCGCTTGTTGTCCTTGGCATCACATGTGGCCTTTTTCTTCAAGACCTCGGAAAAAGGGTGCTGACCGGCATCGCTCGTCAGTAAGTAGCCGTTCTCGGCAGCTTCCACTGCTCTGTCCAAACGACGTTTATTCTGCAGCTTGAGCTCTTTCATTCCTTTGGCAGACAGTTGCAAATCTTCAGCGGAGGGAGGTCTGGAAGATGACGAGGATGTCACAGATTTCTGAATGGCCTTCTGTACAGAAGCTTTCTTTTTTTCCAAAAAAGTATGTTCGGACTTCGGATGCTTTTTCTTTTTGGTGCCTTTGTCAAACCGGGGCTTTGCTTGTCGTCCTTTGTGCCTCTTCACTGCTGCTGCATAGAGTTGGCGAGCTCCTTCAATGATGTCTTTCTGACTTTCCTTCCCACTCATTGTCAGCACGCTGATGCTCCGACGTTCAGTGTCGGCGGCTTTGGGACCGAAGCGACCTGTGTGATAGCAACGGTCAGCTTTGGAAAAGCTCTGCTCCACTCCAGACCTTGACGGCAATACCCACCAAAATGAAATTAAAGAATGCCATAATTTTATGAGTGCTGCCAAGGGACGAAGAAGGAGTCCAACAAGCATAAGCTCGCAAAGTCTTTGGAAGATGCTTCAAGGCATACTTCTTTCGTGCATGCGCATTCTTCTGCGTGTGGTCATAGGCAGCTTTCCAAGCCTCTCTGTTGTCTAGCTGAGAAAGTCTTTTTTGAGCTTCTGCTATGGGCCGCAGAGATTCCCATTCATAACGAAGACCAGCTGGATCAACATCCAAAGCAAGCGCGATTCGTCGCAAGCAAGCAGAGGTCTCTTTTGGTGCCGGTTTCGTCGTAGGTCTGTCGCTCAAGTTGAAGACAAGCATCGCATTGAGGACTTCAAAGTGAGGAAATTCAGCTCGCACCGTGGCTTCGCAAAGGCGGACCCAAGGCTGAAAGTCTTGCAGCGCTTTGTCTTTCACCGCCGCACTGACTCGTAGTTGGCGTCCTTGGCCCCCACTCAAAGCAAATAATGTTCCCGACTCCAAAACTTCCACCATATGTTTGGAATACCCGCTGATCTCCCAGGCCTTGCCGTGAAGGAATTGTACATGGATTTCATCCAAGAAATGGCCGATCTCTTGATTCAAAAGGGCAGGGTCGCACGACTCATTGTCTAGAAAGCGTGTAAGCTGCAGCAGCGAATCGGCTGCGTCTGCCCCAAGGGCCAAGAGCAAAGACGATGAGGCGAAATATCGCGCAACCATTTCCGTGCCCAGTGTGCATCCTCCCTGGTCGAAGAAATTCTATGTAGAACTCGAAAGAAGCTGTGCACATTTCGCAGCATGCGTCCCATTGGCTTCGCAAAGCTTGCAAAGCGATGTTTCGCCGCGGAGAGGCTTGCTGCTCTTGGACCGTCTCCTTCTTGATGCACATAGTCTTCAAACCATCGGCTGAAATGCTGCGAATTGAAGATTTTTTGTACTGGAGAGTCAGAGTGCCGAATGGTGCAATCGAAGGTCTCCTGCGAAAAGAGATGGACGCATGCTGCAATGCAAAAAAAATAGCCGCACAATTATCATTTAAAAATTCAAAAGTCTCCTGCAGAACGGCAATGCAAGACCACGGTCTCTTCACCAGGCGTGTAGACGCGTGTGCACCATCGCGTCCAACCAGGACAACATTTGGGAGAAACGGATCCCGATTGTGTCGTTCTTCAGCACTCTTCCGATTGCCTTTCATGATGTTGGATGCCAAGAGCTCGGCAGGGTGGCTGTCAGTGGTAAGCATGTGAACGATGCTTCGCATATGATTGAACAAACTGCGATCAAAGCCTCCCTGTTGCTGCAAACCTTTTCCAAGACGAGGTGCGTTGAAAAAACTCGTGCAGAAAATGCGCATGGCCTTTGCAGTTGCTGTGACAATGTCTTCAGCACTCCCGCCTTTCATTCGTACGCAGCCCAGGGTGCCGCTGCAAACGTCCATGTCGTTGCTACAGCTTCTGAAACGAATGAGCAGCTTTCCTTTTCGCTCGTCGCGAACGAGGCAAAGAGTAGTAGCTTTGCTCAGCTTGCAACGCCAAAGGCGCAGCAGAGATTCTGATATGCACCAATGCATGAGCACGGTTCTGTCACTGCAGCTTCCTCCGTTTCTCATAGAATGCCCTTTCTGCATGTCTTCGAGCTTCCCCACAAAGTCAAGGTAGGAGGGTGCAGACACCAAATCATTTTCAGAAACGCTTCCTTCCATGAAGCGCAGTGCTTCTTGCCGCCTTAAGGTGTAAGACTTCAGGCGGTGCAAGCCGACAGCGAAAGCGGCAAAGTTCTCTAAGTTGTCACTGCACTTCACAGGCATCCTGTTGGATCGGCAAGGCGTTGGCAAGACATTTTTTCCTGAGAAAATACTCGTCGTCGAAGACATTTGACATGCAAATTGAGCGCAGGCGCTGCAACCAAAGCCAAAGCCGGAGGCATCATCGTTCAACCGCCTGCCAAAGCGAAGCCAGGGAAAGAAAGCTTTAAACTTGCGGCCTTTCCGCGCCCACCAGCACTTGTCGCAGGGTTTGTCTTTGCAAACACGACAATGCCTCAAAGCTTTGCCATGGCTCCACAAACGAACTGGAGGTTTACTACGGAAGTCGCCCTTTCCCATACTGCTGAAAGCCAAAACTTGACTGAGAGAGATGATTAATTAAATGGGAAACATCGTCGTGTATACCTATTGATACTGATACGACGAAAAAAGGAAAGACAGCAAGACAACATGGCAGCTGTAACATTTTTCTCACCTGGACCATGGTTGTCCTGCCGTCCACAGCTCAGCCTAACGTGGCGCCACTGCGTCCTATAGTGCGGCCGGTCTCTCAGTACTCATCTTGCAAGTCATGAGGCACCAAGAGAAAACTCCCGGTCTAACTCCCGTTGGGCTACTTGGAAGTTCTCGAGCTCAGAGTCAAAGCTGACGGCTGCTTCGCGCGCGATCCTGGCCGATGTTCTGAGGGCCTGTTGAGCCCCGGTGAGGGCTCGGCTAAAGCTGACAGCTTTGCGGCTGAGGTTGTCAACCTTCGCCTGAAGCCACACAGGGACGGCGCCAGTTTGCTTCGGCACCGCCAAGGCCTGGGAACCGGCAGACGCAGGAGCAGGTTCAGGCTCCTCCTCGATGTCTTCCTTCGAAGACTCTGCCGAACTGCTGTCCGAACTCTTCAGCGCCGCCGGCTTGGGCGGCGGTGGAAGCGTAGGCCTTTCGGCCGGCATCGCCTTCTCAGCGCGCCTCTCCTCAGCACCACGACGACGACGATCTCGGCCTCGGCTCCTGCTCCGAGACCTCCTCCTCTTCTTAGTCTTCTTCTTCTCCTGGTCGTCAGTCTCATCAGGGCCATGACGGCTGCCGCTGTAGCGCGGGGCTGTGGCAACAGGACCAGGAGAAGCAGGATGCCCCATGGAAGCCTTGGGGCCTGCACTGTAAAGGCCCATGCCACGTGGTGGGCCTCTCGGCTCCGGCGGTCGCTCCAGGCCCGAGCCCTTTTCATTGGCTCGAGAGCGGCCAGGACCCTCAGCACCACGACGTGGATCGTCCGACATGGCTCGACAACGAGGGGAAGCAAAAAACCCAAACCAGGTCTTGAGAAACATCCCTGCCGCAAATGATGACATGACATGACAAAGCCGGCACTGAATTCCAAAAAAACAACAGTCACCTGATGGAAGCTATTAGCACAATATCGGCAATTTTTTCCTCGACCCTTGCCAAGTGGACTTTTGCCACTTCCTCGCTTCTTATGCTTCCAGCCGCCGCTTTTACGGCTGAAGCCTTGCAAAGCTCGCTGCATCGCCCTCTTCGAAGGCTTCTCCTCATCTTCGTGACTGGGCGCTTCTTCAGGAACTCCAAGCAAATAATAAGGATCCAGAGGAGGAGGACGAGGTAGATGCTCTGGCCATGTCTCGTCAGGGTCCTCCTCAGCAGGCAACTTGGACGCCTTATCCGCCATCAACTCCTGGTCCTTGTCGCCTGCCAGCTCCTTTTCCACCTTTGACGTCTTTTTGCCCTTTTTTTCTTTCTTGTCCTTCTTACGCTTCTTGGCTTTGGGCGGCGACGATGATCCAATCTCCTCGTCCTTTTCCACCAAAGCACTGAAAGACAAGTCGCCACAAGCTTCCAAAAATCCGTCCATGTGGCCCCCCGGATCCATTGTGAGCCCTGCAAAGCTGAGGCAATCCCATCATGTGAGTAATGAACATGACAACCAAGAGGACGAAGTAAGAAGCCTGGCATCCAAGCGACAGTCGCGCAATAATAATATTTTTCCGAATCCGCAATCTAAAGTGTGAAACACCGGGCCCGCGTCAGAACACTGCCGCTGTTGCAACCACAGTCGGCTCAAACCATGCTGCCGCCGTCACGGTGGGCGCAAGGCCGCCGTGACATGCTTAGCAGTCGGCGCGAAGCCGCCGCAACATCGCAGTCGGCGCAACGCCGCCGCAACAAGGCAGTCGGCACAATGCCGCCGCAACAACATGGCAGTCGGCATAAAGCCGCCGCAACAAGGCAGTCGGCACAAAGCCGCCGCAACAACATGGCAGTCGGCTCAGAGCCGCCGCTAGCAGTCGGCACAAAGCCGCCGCAACATGACAGTCGACATCAAAGCCGCCGTGCCCATACGCAAAGCTGCCAAACCCTGATCGCAACTGGCAACAGCGAAAGCGAAGATGAAAGGTGATCTCACCACCACGCTCAGCATTTTTCTCCCCTGTCCAGACCGAAGTCATCTGAAATTACGAATTAAGTTAAGCCCTGGCGCGCCCTCAAATGCTGCTCCAAACGCTCACCGAGTCGGAGTGCAGAGACAGAGCCCTGCAGCGCAAGCGATCCACAAAAGACAGCCAATTGCCAATTTTATTGGGGTCTGAACACAGCCAAGACACACACCCAAACAAGTAGTGGATGTGCTTCTCCAACTGCTCCGTTGTAGTTCTTCGCACCAGTACCATTTGCACATACATCGGATGAGGTTTTGAAACTGTAGTGGACTTCTTCTGCACCTTGTGCCTTTTGCTTACCATCCGAGGCGGAGGCATGCTCACTCCTTTTACCATCATTGCCTCAGTCCTGTGAGCCATCAAACCTGCAGAAGTGTCGCAATGGAAGGCCGGACCTAACTTAGAACAACTTGTTCAACGTTTAAACAGGTTGACAACCAGGGACCAGTCGCCGATGCTTCCAACACAGTGGACCACGGACGGCACGAAGCCGCCGTGGCGGCTTCGAAAAAAGACACCCTTAAACTGCTTAGAGCCCTTGACGACGAAGACAAACCATTCCATCACCAAAGTGAACACTGACACATTCAAACTCCTACACAGGAACAGCACCGCTCGGTCTCTTTTCAACAAGCACCACAACGCAGAGAGTCGCCGCATTAATGCGAGGAACTTGTCGACGACGGTGTCAATGGAGCGGCCTGCCGCCGTGAACACAGTCGGCAAGAGGCCGCTGTGAACACAGTCGGCACAAGAGACCGCCGCGAACACAGTCGGCTGGTTGCCGCCGTGAACACGGTCGGCATGAATCCGCCGTGAACGCACACAGTCGGATGGAAGCCGCCGTGAACACAGTCGGCTGGTTGCCGCCGTGAACACGGTCGGCCAGAGGCCGCCGTGAACACAGTCGGCACAAGAGGCCGCCGCGATCACAGTCGGCTGGTTGCCGCCGTGAACACAGTCGGCCAGACGCCGCCGTGAACACAGTCGGCACAAGAGGCCGCCGCGAACACAGTCGGCTGGTTGCCGCCGTGAACACAGTCGGCCAGACGCCGCCGTGAACACAGTCGGCACAAGAGGCCGCCGCGAACACAGTCGGCTGGTTGCCGCCGTGAACACAGTCGGCAAGAGGCCGCCGTGAACACAGTCGGCACAAGAGGCCGCCGCGAACACAGTCGGCGGCCGCCGTGAACACAGTCGGCAAGAGGCCGCCGTGAAGACGTGAAGACAGTCGGCCGGCACAAGCCCGCCGTTGACACAGTCGGGCCGACCGCCAGTCAGATGACCCAGCACAGATAACTGAAATATTTTTTTTATTTTTATTATTTATTGAAAATGTTCTCATATAGTAAACAAGTAAACTGTATGTAAAATGTTAGTCTCAGAATACATGTTGAAATAATAATAATAATAAAGTGGGCGCCTAGCAGTTAGAATTCGTAAAACATGGTGACAAGCACTTAGAATTGCGCCTCAGTGATACTTAAATCATGCACTTAGAATTGCCCACAGTGATACCCAAGTCATGCACTTAGAATTGTATCAACCTTTGGTGGCCCCAAATCATCCATTTTTGAAGGATTTTCCACGGAAAATCATCCATTTTTGATGGATTCCCCCTGGCTCAGTGCTTCGCTCCTCATCTGTTTTTCCCGCCAATTGTGAAGTCTTTCATCGTCTTAATCTAGATCTTAATCGGTGAATTCAAACAAAGCTGCCCAAATCCACTCTAAACATACAACACACACATACAACATGAACATATACAACACACACACATATATATATATATTGATATATATGTATATCAAAACAATTCTAACTGTCAAAAAATTCTATCTGTCTTAAAATGTATAAACAATTCTATGGTCCCTGCGTTTCTAGCAGTTAGAATTTCGCTACTTTAGTCATGCAAAATCCGCTGAAAAAAAATCTATCTGCTAGGGGCCTACTGTAATAATAATAATAATAACAATCAGTATGGATCACTAGGAAACAGCATGCCTCATCATTGAACTGAATGTCAGAATACATAAAATCAGAATGGATTTAATCCGGAAGTGGTGACACTTGCCACCAATGTTATCAGAAGTTAAAAGGATCTGATTTATCTTCGCTTGTGCCAACTGACTGTCAACCAAAAAGGGCCCCAGGGCCCTGGAACAACATCAGCAAGTTTGTGTTTGGATGATTAAATCGCAAATTGTTCCCATGTGTGTTTGATGGTTAAACCCGGTGAAACCCCTATATATCATGGTTAAGACTTGAGTTAAGACCCACAAAGTGTGAACATGGCTTTTTGGGCTAGGTAAACTTATGGTAAACTTCAGGCTGCCCATCAGGTGACGCCGGTGACGCCTTGATGAAACCGCAGGTTCCAGCGTTCGCCTCCTCGTGTCCGACATTACTCTTGGCCGATGCGTGTAGCAAGGGACTCTCCCCGCGCTTGTTGAACCTATGACAAAAACAGAGGGTGGAGGAAAATCCATGGAAAATATCGGAAGCCCCCTATAAATGGAGATTATAGCTGGGAAAATCAGCGAACTAAATGACTAAATGAAAATGTGTGTTGAAATAGAGAGACGTGTGGACTTTTGGTAGCTGACGATGATGCTTGTACACTTCTACAGGCTTGTGTGGGTCACAGACTTCTTTCTCAAAAAAAGAGATGCGGCCTTGTGTTCTTATCCCATACAATCACCATGTCCCCCTTGGATGAGATCCAAAAAGAAATGAAGAAATCCAATCCTAAATCATGGTTTCTTGGGAGGGCTACATGTCAGAGGGAAGGGATCTATTACATATATCCATCTTATGTCAAGTGTATGGTTTACTCAACCAAATTTAGGCAGGTTCTATCGTGCTACACCCATTTTGCTAGCTTGAACCTAGCCAGCATGGGTTTGTCTGCAAGAGTGGTAAGAAGTCCGCAAACATGGCTGTGTTCATAGTGAAAGTGATCATGAATTATGACCCCATCAAATGCCTACGAGATAGTTCAATCCTCTTTCGAGGGTCCATGATAAGGAGGATAGCCAGGATAGCCCAATATGTCCATGAAATCCTCAGAGGGTCCAAAAATATACACAATATACCCACAAAGTATATCAAATAAGTTGCCAAAAAAGAATCCCTCAAAAAATAATCCCCAAGTACATCCCCAAGTAGGTTATATCATTTACAAAAACACATATCCCCAAGTAGTTTATCCAGTACTTTATCCATCGGAAACATTTGCGCCAAATCATCGACGCAGCAAATCCAAGTCAGTCAGTCACTATTAATCACTCGGATCACAAGGAAACCACTAGAAAAACAACTATTAACATTACTATTAAACCATCCCATTAACCATCCCATTAATCCCCATTAATCCCCATGAATCCACCATTAATCCCCATTAACCATCATTATTAGCCATTATTGACCATCATTTACCATCAAAAAAACCAGTTATTAACCATTACCCTCTGGTAAATTAACTTGTTGACCCTGGCAGTCATCGGGGTTGCAAAAAACTAGTTTCCTTTAACATGGGTGATTTTCAGGGTCCAACTGTTAATTTACTGGAGGGTACTAACCACCATAAAACCACCATAAAACCACCATTTTTCATCCAGCTCCAAGGCACTGCACGCTCTTCATGGCTCCAATCTCAATGGGATCCCCCAGGGCGGTGCCGGTGCCGTGGCATTCGCCCACCTGCACCTGTGGTGACCGCGAAATGGGGGAAAAATGGTGGGTTGAAGCATCAGAAATCATGAGAAATCGGGATTTACCCACTGAAAATGCTGATTTAAACATGATCTAAGCATGATTTTTTTAAGTGGCTAAGATTAGGAATTCAGCATCCAAAAATGCTTATGTAACTATCAAGATTGAATTGTGAATCAACCAATCATCAACCACGAAATTCATGGAATAAATGCTGCTTTTACCACAGAGTCACTGATAAAAAAAGCCCTGGTTAGCACCAGATGCTCCAAGTATTCGGATCGCCATCCCAGTTCTTGCTGCAGAAATAAAAATAAAATTCAAGCTTTGTAGGAGATATACCTCTGAAATTTATGTATCTCATATATATATATATACAATTATTATAATTATATATATATATATTACTACTACTATCATTATTAATTACTATTATTACTATTACCCTCTGGTAAACTAACATAACTATGGAAAATCACCATTTTTAATGGGTAAATCAACTATTCCTATGGCAATTTGCAATAGCTATGTAACAAATTACCAGAGGGTATAGCAAATTTTATATGGGTTATTTAGAGATCATTGGGATCACAGGAACCCGCCACAACCCGCCACAACCGGCCACAACCCGCCACAACCGGCCACAACTCACACCTCTCCAGGCTGTAAGCGCGCTTCGGCCAGAGAGGCGCGGATACACATCCTCAACGTGAAACGGTCAGCTTTGGGGAAGGGAAAATGCAGTATAGTAGCTATAGTTCTATAGTAACTATAGTTCTATAAGTCATATCAGTCTTAAACCATTCATTGGATTGGTTGAAGGGAAAATTTACACGAAAACCCATATGATGGGAAAATCGATGGTTTCCGGTTAAGATTTTCACTTAAACCAATCCATTGAAGTAACCATTGACATTTAAGGGGTGCCCAATAAATGTGACCCTTGTAATATCTTGTAATCTCAGGACTCGGGTGTTTGTATAAGCTGGCAATGCAACGGCACATTGAATCACCAGTTTCTAAATCAGGGTAAATCATGGTGTGTATCATGGTGTATCATGGTTTTTATCAATGTAAATCATTTAAAAATTCATGAGTTCATCATAGTTAATCCAACTTCACTTGGAATGATCGGCATTTGACCACCATTGACCCGCAGCTCCTACGCCCGGGTGGCGTAAACGGCCCTTTATCGCCCTGTCGCCGAGTGGCTGCTGTGAAGGGCCATGGGGTGCGGTCAGTGACGCACTACGGCCGTCCTGGAGGGTGCCGAAGGTGAACGCGAAGCGGAAAGCCAAGGGGAGATTTGTTGTTTAAGATCAGGGGGATGGGAATCAATCTGAATAAATTCTGTTAATTTATATAGATGACTATAATCAGAATATTTACCAGTAGTATATAGATTACAAACTAATTATAGTAAGAAAACTCCATATTTTCGGATTTAGATATTTATATAATATTCATGTGATTTATAGTATTACAAACTATAAATATATCCTACTTGGATAGGTAATTCCATAATTCTATATATATATATATATAAATATGTGTGTGTGTATAGCAAGCCCCGAACCCCCCCGAATAGATCAAAAAAACACCATATAGTTGAATAAAGATAACTACTACGTTACCATGATAACTATGATAACTAGAGGTCTCATCACCAGAACTACCATTCCTCAATTCCTCAATCATATGGATATAATATATATATAGGGGTTGAATAATAATGATGACTATTCCTCTCACCTTTACCGCCTTTACCATTACATTTACCATTACTATGACTATGACTACTATTACATACCATTACCATATGGAGGTTTCCTGAAATGGGGGTACCCCCAAATCATCCATTTATAGATGGATTTTCCCTTGTAAACCATCCATTTGGGGTATCCCCATTTATGGAAACCCCAAATATGGGAATACACTACTATGATAACTACTATTATATACTATTACTACTATCCCCATTACCATTGCCATATGATTGCCATTACTATTACTACTACTACTACTACTACTACTACTACTACTACTACTACTACTACTACTATTACTAGTGATTGAGGTATAACACTAGTAATGTCAACCCCGGATTAATAAACCATGGTTTATTAATTAGGGGGGTACTCCTCCAATAGTCATAATCCAATACTGAAATGGTACCCCCCCCAATTAAACAGCCTAAGGGTTTATTAATCCAGCGTTGACAGTCATGATGATCACTACCATTACCATTTTGCTATCACTATTACTATTCGAAGGAAGTTTAGAAGTCAAACTTCCGACAATATGGACAGATGAAAAGCAGAGTAGGGCAGAGGCAGAGAGAAGAGAAAGATTAGAAGAGAGAAGAGTAGAAGAGAAAGAGTCAGAAGAAAGAAGATGCAGATGCGCGAGAAGGTAGGAAAGTCGCGAAACACAGTGTTTTTCCAATGATTTGTGGCTCCGGATGGTCGAAAAGTAGGCTCGCTAAAGCGGCGGGTGCGGAGCCAGCTCGCCAGATGAGAGATGAAAAATTGCACGCCGTTGTGGCGCGAAGCACATTTCCAAGTCAAAATGTACAAAACACACCATTCTCGGACCACTTTTGGAAGTTCCAATGTCGAAAAAGTGCACGCCGTTGTGGCGCGAAGCACATTTCGAAGTCAAAATGTACAAAGCACACCATTGTCGGACCACTTTTGGAAGTTGAGATGTCGAAAAAGTGCACGCCGTTGTGGCGCGAAGCACATTTCCAAGTCAAAATGTACAAAACACCAATGTCGGACCACTTTTGGAAGTTGAGATGTCGAAAAAGTGCACGCCGTTGTGGCGCGAAGCACATTTCCAAGTCAAAATGTACAAAACACCACATGTTCGCGCCCGCCACTTTTGGAAGTTTAGATGTCGTTTCGCGTGGCAGGCGCAAGGGATTGTGGACCTGGTCAAAAGTGAGCAAAACGTGAGGGTTTTGTAGCATTTTCAACTACAACCACCACTACACCACACTACACTCCAATACATTACACTACACTACAACTACAACTACACCTTCACTACATTCTACTACACTACACTCCACTACACTACACTGCACTCAATTACACTCCATTACACTACACTACACTACATTACACCACACTCCACTACACTACACTACACTACATTCCACTACACTTCACTACATTACACTGCACTACACTACAACTACAACTACAACCACAACTACACTCCGCTACACTAAATTACACTACACTACTACACTACACTACATTACACTGAATGACACTGCACCACAGATAGACAGGTAGACAGATAGACAGATAGACAGATAGACAGATAGATAGGTAGGCAGATAGACAGATAGGTCATTAGATGAAAGAGAGAGAGAGAGAGATAGATCGATAGATAGATAGATAGATACATAGATAGATGGATAGGTAGGTAGGTAGGTAGGCAGGCAGGTAGATAGTCAGAGAAAGAAAGAGGAAGAGAGGAGACCTCAAGCACCTTTCGGTCCATCAGTGGCTTCGATCTGCCATCCCTGATTCACAACAACCAACCTCTCCTATAGGTTTCCTATTTTTGAAACTTCCGCCACCGCCTTGTGCGGTACTACTGGTACTATTATTAATGGTACCACTATTATTATTACTATTATTCTTATTACTATTACCATTATTATTACTACTATTACCAGTAATGATTGAGGTACTATATTAGTCAGTTAGGATCCAGGATGATTATTAGTATTATGATCATCACCAACCAGTATTATCACCACCAGAAGTACCCTCTGGTAAACTAACATAACTATGGAAAATAACAATTTTTAATGTGTAAATCCACTATAAATGGCCATTTTCAATAGCTTTTTGTACCAGTCATTACCAGAGGGTAAATCCCATTGTCATCCCATTATTCACCATTATTAACCATAGAAAATCACCATTTATAGTGGTTAGTCATTACTATAATGGTAAATCAATAGGTAATAGTGATACTATAATAGGGTACCCTATAAATCAATTAGTTATATTATACGTACCATTTATAGGGTATAGTGGTACCTCAATCACTTCCCAGCCGTGGCAGCCGTGGCCGTGGCGCCTGATTGGCACATGAGCCCAGCAGCACCGCCAGCGAGCGCTCCCCCGCCGCGCGCTCGGCGTCGTTCTCCGCCGCCAGGTGCACGGCGCAGCAGCCCTGGCGCCGTGGACGCCGGGCCAAGGCCGGTTGGTCCCCCGAAAAATGGGCGAACACCCAGGGATTTCACCCGAAAAATCCATCATTTCACCCACAAAGACTTGGAAATATAGAGGGATCCACTGGATCCACTGGATCCAAATTTGGAAAAAAACATGAAAAACACACCAGGTATTCAAATTCACCTTGCCAGAACTTTCTCATTGCCAGGTCCGTTACGTCCGGGACCGCCTCGCCCCGAATAAAGCCATCCGCACCCACATCGAAGGTGAAGGCACCTGGGGACATCCCCAAGGCCCAAGATACAGAAAGGAGGGAAATACCTGAAATACCGATGATAAATGGAGGGTGTTCATGACAAAAACATACAAAAACCATGATGCATCTTCGGAGTTGGTGGTTGGCGATTAAATCTTAGATTTCCTGCCTCGACAAACACTTGAGCAAAACTGGAGGTAAGAACCTCTATGAACCTCCAGCAATCAGGAAATGTGCCAGTGCAAAACATGAGAACAACCAATGATGACATATCATTTTCCCAACGTCAATCCGAAGAAATTGGGTCAATCCGAAAACTGGCCCACCTCTAATCAGGGAACAATCCGAAGTTGATGGATTCAACCCATCCCAAAGGGGGAAAATCCCAGATGCTTTGAAGTCACTTTTTTTTTTGTCGGATGATTTCACCTTTCTTTGCTGACTATTTGGGGATATTCCTGTTTATAACATTTTATAACATTTTATAACCTGATAATACCTGATATAAATGGGTCTTATTTGTGAACCACCAAACCACTCACCATTTTTGCTGGTGATCTTACCATTTATAGCTTTACCGTGGCTGAAAGCCATCATCGAAGCCCAGCCAGCCAGCCAAACGTTACGTTTCGCCAGGCGGCGGCCCTTGTAGGAAAGCATGGTGGCGGCACATTCACCGATCCAACCCCCAGGATGAAGCATCACTAAGATGCCCATGCACACGGCATATTTCAGCTGGGCTTGATCCTTCATATTGTCCTGGGCTACATCTGGGTACCCTGGGCCGAAAAAATCGCAACTGGTCACAATTGGTGACAGGGGTTTTGAGGTCCCCCCCATTATATGCAGTAATTGACAAGTGTTCCACATCCGCTTTGAGGTGTGACCCACATCCCCAGTCCTCAGAGAGGGGCGCAATCTTCTCGCCAATTTGCGTATTTCGCCTTGTTTTTTGGAGCGAAATGGATTTTCATAGCGCACTGATGGACCCACAAATAGACCATGGTACAGGCATTGCCTCCATCTTTGGAGTGTAAAAAGTGTAAAACTAGGATTTCATGTAGATGTTCCCTCAAACCACCCCCTTGTTTGTAAGACATCGCCCAAATATCAAATGATACATCTAGAATCTAGTCGATATATAATTATGTAATTATGTATATTAATTATATAACACATTTAAATTCATGGATATGTTTGGTATGGTTTACATGCTTTGGGGCTCTACAAAACCCATCGTTTTTGTCAGCGCATCGGCCTCACCATCATGTGAGCTGCCGCATTGGTGGCCACAAGAGAGGCGGAACAGGCCGTGTCCACCGTCACGTTAGGCCCGGTGAGGCCTGCAGCCAGATAGGGATGAAAAACTGGGGACTTTACGAGAAAAAACATGGGAATATGATGGAAATATGATGGAAATCATTCTCAGCGCAAGGTTTATCCATGTTTATCCCATCCCCCGATGATATGAAACGCAAAGAAACTGATACTCCCGATGAAGAAAAACGACCCCAGAAATAGATCCACGATCCAACACGAGGAAGATGCTCGCATAATCTGATATGGTCTACCCTCCTGCAGTCAAACGTGGCTTGCAACATCCACCATTCACTTCGTTGACCTTCCCAGAAAAGAAGCTCCATAGGGTCATAATCTTTCCCTTTTCATCCTCCTGAAACCTCCATTTTTCATGGTGATTTCCCATAGATTCGATGGCTTGTTGGGCTGGTGAAAATCACCCATCAATCGGATATGCCCGGATCATCAAAGTTGAAACCACTCTTCCAGAGCAAAAAAATTACCCCCAAAATCTGCGGCTGGAATAATATCACTAGCAAAACATGGAAAGAAAGTAGACCATCGAAAAGAGAGATTTGACCAAGAAGAAAGGGGATATGTCCATTCTAAAGTAATGTAACCAGCCATGGGCCACAGAAAAGCCACAGATTTCTGCCACCCAGCACCTATCAACCTGGCAATCCTGGGGTGAAAAAAAACAAGTTGCTAGATGATTTGCTCAAAAAACCCTCAGGCTTAGCCAGCCATGGCTGGATTCGTTGTGGCTAAAATGGTGGACTCCTCCTGGGCGGAAGGTCCGTAAAGACTTCCCTGCGAAGCAGCCCAAGGTATGCGAGAGTCTGGAGCAGGTCACGAAGCCACTGTTGTTGGTGAGCCTTGGGATGTGGAGAAAATTTCCGCGCTTCGGAATGGTAGTCGAAGCGCGTCACAAAGATGGGATAAAACACGAGTAAGAATGGGAAGTTGAGAGCAAAGAAAGACTGGAGCTTCAAACAATGAGAATCAAACATCCAAATCGGCCACTTCCGCTTTTCAACTTTTCGGACTCTCCATTTTTCACCCCCTACCCTATCCCATCACCCTGTTCCAACAACGTTCCAACTGTTCGTTCCACGCAACTGGTAGCGGTCTTTCTTCAGGTAAATCACGTTCCACTCAGACCCCGAATCGCCCATGAAGGAGCCAATGCGTTGCCCTCGCAGACCCTGCTTGGTCCAGCCGGCCTTCCACAGAACCTGCAGAAGTTGTTGGGAAAACCACCAAAAATCAAATGCGTGTTTAGTGTGTAGGGGCATTATGGGGCATTCACATGAGTTCCAAACCATTTGGAAATGGCTTGATATAATCTACAGAATAACATACGTCTTATTCTATATGTCCCGCCTTGGATAAGAATGGGGGACCCCGAAGAATGTCTCCGACCAGTTTCACCCCACATTTCCATACATGTCCTGCCAAAATCAGACCAGCCGTTTATATATTCAACGCAAGTTCCAACTCTTCCATGACTTTCCATCCCAAAAAGAACTATCATGAATTAAATTATCAGCATCCCAGCATCAATTTCATCACCACCATTTCACTTAACTAATCTTTCCAACAAACAAATTTTAGCCATGAATTTCCCCCAAAAAAAAAACAAACATTCGCTTCCCAATTTCGGAGTCCTCGGCGGAGTCCGAAACGGCGCGCCTCATAGCCCACTTCCATGACCCATCGCTGGCTGGGCGAAATGGCCTGCGCCTCCTCGATGTCGATGCCGAAGAAGTCGTTGTCGAAGCCTCGGCGGAAAAACGGCCGGGGGCTGCTGGGTGAGTCATGGAAAACACGTGGTTTTTTACACTCGGCACATAGGAAAATCACGAACATTCATAATAGGATTATATCTTAGTAGTGGAAGTTTCAGATATGTTTGTTTCATCTTGTTTCTTCATGATTCAAAAAGAATATTGAATAGCCAAAAAGAAAGGTTTCCAGCTGTGTAGCTGCGTTTTTTGAAAAACGGAAGAGGTGGCGCCCAAGATTCATGGGATGTGAAGCACATTTAACAAACCACTGGGGGATACCAAACACAGAACATAAAGGCAGCCATGGTTGGTTCCTTCACTCCAGTGCCGCAAAAAGTTTCCACACTTGCAAGGACTCGGTTGAGATTGTGGTGTGCGTGATTTTGACGAATGGGAAGCAAACCATCTTCAATGAAACAAAAGCAGGGTCCTGTACATCTATTCTGACTATGCTTGTTCCAATTCTTGGAAGTGATAGACTCTTTAGAAATCACAACTAAATGGGTGGCTTCCCATGTTTTGTTCCACACATGTCTTGCTCTAGCAGGGGTCTCCGGATGTGGTTTTGGTCTCCTCTTCAGGAATCCCAGAGTTGTCCAATCCTCTGGCCAGATACCTATGAGCTGGTCCTCATTCACGAAGGAACCTGGCTCAGGGGTCACCAATGGCTATGGGAAAAGACATTCAATTTTTCAGAATGTTTCAGATATGTTGGTTTAATGGAACCATATGGAAAAATCCAGAAAAATATGTATGTATGTATGTATATATATATATATATACATCATACGTTAAACCCCATTTAAACGGTACCAGCCATGGTTGGTTTTTCTGCTGGACCAGTTGGACCAAGTGACCATGGATGATGTACGCCAGGCCGCGAAGGGGCGCGTCTCGATCGGGCGCATAGTACAGATCCTCCACTGCTGGCAGTATGGGATGTTTATGGGATGTTGATCCTGAATCACAGCTACAAGACAAGTCCCAAAAACTTTGCGGATACAAATGATTGGGGGTTACTGTATATATATATAGCCATTTAGATGTGTGATGTTCATTCTATGCCTGGCTCCATAGCTGCCGTAGCTCCTCAACACGTTGCCCCATTCAGAAAAAACTGCCAATATCCATGGCTAGCCCCACATACAGTTCTCGGGATCATGAGAAGTCACGTTATGTGTCTGACCTCCAGTTTTTGTCTGTTTCCCACCACTCAAATCCACAATCAAAGACCATCACAGATCTGATGGTAAGTCTGGTCTGAACTGGGGCACCATGTGTGATATTTTTGTGAAGTCGTGTCAAGTCCCTTTTGTTGATGGTTATATCCCGTTGATTCATTTTTGGTTGGACATCCCATCTACTGTAGTATATACATATATACACCGATATCTTGCTATGACATTTCCATGATATGATATTCGCATTACGTGACACATTAGTTGTAGTTGATCCTAAACCATTTAACTTATATCATATTATATTACATTATAATGTATTATATTATCTTAAACTATATTATATCATATGATATCATACTAATTCATATTCCAATTAATAGTGTATAATATATATATATATTATAAATTATAATATATAAATCTATTTAGTTTAGTAGATTTCCCCAACCCTCAATTCTTGGCGTTTCCGGGCTCCTTGTCGAAGCGCGTGAGGGGCGGCTCCAACAAGGTGTCGCTGCCGGCCGTGAACAGCCTCGCCAGGGTCCCGATGGAAAAACATGGAAAATTTCGGTGGTAGAAATGAAATCATCATGAGATCATCATGAGATCATCATCCATAAATGGTCCATAAATTTCCATAAAATGATGTTTTAATTGGAAAAAAAACATCTATATAAACATCTATAAACATGTAACCGAACAAAAAAAAACAAAGATATGATGGATTTTGTCGATATATCTTCATTTACTCTTGTTCGGCTATGGTTCACAATGAATCAAAACAAGATAGGGATGTGGTTTTTCGATTTTTGCCGATTTTTGGGATCGTCAACAAGTCATGAGTCATGAGATCAGTCATGAGTTATTTATCGGTTTCCATCGTCATGGAGGCTTCCCCAGAAGATCTAAATTGATGGCTATGGGTGAAACTTCTCCCCGCAAAAATGCTATGAAATTTCGTCCAAAAAATCACCATAAATCACTACAATTCACGATAAACCACACTAAATCATACTAAATCCCTATAAACCCATAGTAAATCAAGTAGTAAACCCAGTCCGTAATCCCAGTCCGTAATTCCCATCGTTTCATGCTCCCACCAGCGTCACCGAGCAACGCGAAGCTCATGTCACAGTTCTCGGCTCCCGCGGGGAAGCGCTCGGTCATGGACTTCACGTGCACGCGATCGCAGCCCGACTCTCCTTCAACGTGGCCCATGGGGGAATGGAGCTGGAAAAATCGCTGGCTTGATATGAATCTATACTGTCAAGTACCACAAAAAGTATCAGAAAGTAACTTTTATATATCTAAACATATCAACATATCTACGATTCTACTACGATTCTGTACATTTCAAACATTAGTACATGTTAGTGTATAAATTCGTGGATTGCAATGGTGAAAGAGTTCGTCACCATTCACCCATTTGGGTGTGTCTCTTTGGGTGGGAAACATCCCTCAATTCCGATGGATTGGAACCTCATTCTTCCGACAAAAATTGCCATTTGGGACGAAAAAAACCTCATGTTCAGACACACCCAAAGATCTTATCAAGTTCATGTTCATCACTCTTTTAATCACTCTTTTAATCACTCTTTTAATCACTCTTTTAATCACCATAAATCACCATAAATCACTCTTTTAATCACCATAAATCATTATCCCCATAAACCATCATAAACCCATAGACCCAGTCCGTTTCATCACTAGTTTCATCCCCGGTCCCTCTGGGTCCATGGTCGAAACTCCGCTCCTGGACGTTTGGGCAGCTTGCGAAACTGCAGCGGCTCCATCTGAGGGATAGCGGATTCTGGAAAATCTTGGGATTTATTTGGTGATATATTTCATAGAATTGGATGATGGGAAAATTTACAGGAAAGCCCGATCAATTTGATGGTAAAAACCCATGGGTTTACTGTAGATTTTCCCTTAAACCAATCCAGTGAATATTAAGTGATTACCCTCTGGTCAACTAACATAACTATGGAAAATCACAATCTTTAATAGGTAAATCAACTATAAATGTGCAATTAACAATTGGGATTAATTGACAATAGTGATGATTATCCAATTGCTAATCACTATAATCTGGAAGGAAAATCTTGGGATTAATTTTTACAATAGAGATTAACAATTGGATATATAGTGATTAATCTGGGATTGCAATTGGATCAATAGTGAATTAATTGGGATTTATAGTGATGTGTGGTGATTCATGATGATTTAATGTTGATTTATTGTGAATAATTTACATGTAAGAAGCTCATTGTTATTCTTATCACATGAATCCTATGTCAATATCATATTTGTCATATATTGATATTACCATGTATTACCAGTGATTGTCATCTCATCTTTTTTTTTCGTACCACCAGGACGGCTTGACGGCTTGCACTTTTGCCACCAGGATGACTTAGTTGTTTGGTCAGTAGAAAGGAAAGTGATGTGTCAAATCACACAGTCTTTGAGGGGTGCTTTGTTCCAAGTTCTAGATGTACTAAACTTACTGATTCTTAGCAGGGAATGAGGGAATGATCCATAATCACTATTAATAATAATCCCATTCCCCCATTCCCATCCATTCCGTACTAAGCACCAGTAAGTAAAGCTGTACCCAAGTTTTGCAATCGTCACTTGATTTGACAAGGGATGATGGAAGAAAGTAGCCTCATGGCCATGAAATGGACAAAATGGCGTCGATGGATGAGTCTCATGCAGTATGTACCGTATAGACAGAGTGGACCAAAACTCATCAAAATCGTTGAGACACAGCCAATTCAGAAGATTGAACAATGTCAGTCGCAAAAACCAACATCAAGAAACAGCTGCAAAAATCATGTCAACATCAGGAAAACTGACTGATGAGACCTCATCTTTATATCTTCGGCCATAAATTTCTGATAACCTTAACCCAATGATAGTCCCACTATACATTAAAATGCATGGGTATATTATCATTGGTATTGTTAATAACTATCATTGTCAAATTAACTATTGTTAATCATCACTATATATATATATATCCAATTACCATCCCAGATTAATCACTATATATCCAATTGTTAATCACTATTGGTATGAGTCAAAATTTGAGGTACCCCAATGGTCCGTTTCAATGGTTACGATTCGATGAGACCACTGAGACCACCTTGTCCATGAGCCAGGTTTGCAGTACCAAAGCTTCATCGGTCTCTGGTAGATACCTGCGGGAGAATCATGGCAAGATATGGGAAAAACCACCTATGAATAGAGGAAAAGCCACCTATAAATAGAGGAAAAACCAGCTATAAATAGAGGAAAATCCAGCGAGAAATAGAGGAAAAGCCTATACATAGAGGTTTAGAGCTCGAAAAATCGACGAATTTCTGGATTTTCCTACCATGTTTGATGACTGGAGGGTGACCTGAAGAAAAGGGGATGGACCTTGACTTGAGGCAAACATTCCCTGCTTCAGTAGCCATTGGTTGGGGATGTTCATCGACCCGAAATCATCCAAATTGGACCATGACGACTAGTATTGAAACATGATAACTTAATTATCCCCCACCCCCTATAATATATATTTATTTATTATAATCTTATTATATCATTATATAATATCATATACTATAAGATATTAGAAGCTTCCCTAAATCGTGGATTTCCCATTGGGAAAATGCCCAATGGCACATCGACAGAGGCAATTTTTCTCTCCCAAGAGGCCGATAGTCCAGCAGATCGTGACGGAAGAGCAGCACTGAGCCCGCACTAAGACGAAGTCGACCACCAATGGCGCCCTGCTGAAAGGTGGTGCCCTGGTGATCCCAAATCCCCATTTTCGTGGCTTATCCCATAGGTCACTTATAGCTCTAATTACCCTCTGGTAATGACTAACGTAGCTATTGAAAATGACCATTTATAGTGGATTTTCCCATTAAATATGGTGATTTTCCATATGTTAGTTTACCAGAGGGTAGATACTAAATGGTGCTAACCAGTGATCAGTGGGATGATCCTCCAAGTATGTCGGTTGGGAAAATAGTGGAAAATCAGAATGACGACCAGCAAATCCATCGAATCCACCTCGGAGCTTTTGGCTGTGAGTTCGACCACGCCCTGGCCCTCGACTTTGTAAAAGATGCAGAGCCGTCGGGCTACAACCTACCGAATCTTTCCGGCTTGTCCCCCAGGTTGACAAGCCATACCCTCCAGTGATGGAACTCACATAGCTATGGGAAATGGACCATTTATAGATCGATGATTTACCGAACTTTAAAATGGTGATTTTCCATAGCTATGTTAAATCACCGCATCTCCCTCTATAAGGATCACTTCAAAATAACGATTTCAGCCCAATCAACGTCGTTGCCCAGCAATGGATTACAACTTTCACATAGCTTCATCCCTTTTCCATCAGAAAATTGTTGTCCCCCATAGCATGGCGGGAAATTCACAAAATTCACAACAAACATCAACAAACTCTACAGCCATTCAGATCAGCGCCAGGAGACCCACATCATGAATTCCTCGGCCATGCGCTTGTCTCGTTCGTCCATGGAGCCAGCTTTACCCACCAACGAAACGCCTTCGGCCATGTGAGGCACTCGTAGGATCGTGCCGGTCTGGCTGTACCTGGACAGCAGGGGCCCAACACGTACTGTCAGCATCTGTCAGCTAAGTTGGTAACTCCAATAACTATAGGGTTTATGGATGTTTACGGTAGATATATCTATGGTATTCTATAGTTACTATGGTTTATACAGTAAACCAAACTATAACTGGGGGGCACCACCTTGTACTCACGTCGAACGAAGAAAAAAAGTCACAGAATATCCAGAAAGGGGTTTAGCATCTTTCTAAAGTACGAGTAATTTTTAGAACATGGGAAATCCAAAGAGTTGGCTATTTCATCACCCAATATCACACTCACCAGAATATATGTATCAAGTATAAATTGTATATGTGATGTTATTATCCTATAGCCTATATCATAATTATCATATCACCAGATCTTTTTGTCTCTCAAAAAAATGTTCCCAGGATTGCGCGTCACCAGGATACAAGCTATGACAACCAAAAGCAGCTGGACTGTTCGCCAGCAGATCTGTGAGCACCGAGAGATGCTGGTTGAACTCCTGGCTGGAAAATCCGATCAAAAGTGGGGCCCCCGTTGACGAATTTGCGTTCAGTTGGTGGGTTTATAACTCCAATGTCACTATGGTTTATGGTACCTATAACATCCTATAACTATAGTATTCATGGGGTTTATAAACCATCGTTCCATCACTGGGGGGTCCCACATTGTACAAGTGGAGGTGTATCGCTGGGAAAATCATCGAACTAAATAGGACATGTTCAAATGCTACGTTTGATGACCGGAGGGTAGATAACACTGTATGCAAATGCCTAGTATATCACAAAATATCAGCAGCATTCAATAGCTCCCACTACCAACTACGGTAGTTTTGAGTGCACAGTAACTGAAATGCCAATTACTACAATTCAAAGTTCATGAGCAAGATTTCACCCCGCTTGCTTAGTCACATCGGGCCCGAAATCATTGAACCAATTCATGTAAAATCTGGTTCAACAAAAATCATTACCCTCTGGTAAACATACAAAAAGCTATGGAAAATGGCCGATAGAAATAGATGGTTTACCTATTAGAAAATGCTGATGTTCTATAGCTATGTAACAGTCATTACCAGAGGGTAAGCTCTGAGTTATGTCCCCATGAAATCGGGGATGGGTCAAAACCTATTAATACCATATTTTTAGTGGCTTATTCACATCCATTTTAACCCAGCTATGACTTGATGTTCACCAGAAGGTACCAGGGTTTTGACCCATCCCCAATTTACTATACCCTCTGGTAATTTGTTACATAACTATGGAAAGATCCACCATGCTATCAATGGGAAAATCCACTATAAATCACCATTTCAATAGCAAAAGTCACCCCAAAAGTCGTCACTCCTTCAATGCTTCATAGTCTGGCGGCGCATTGCGACCCCGAGGCTTCGTGTCCTGGCAGATCGTCCCATTTCCCGAGCACGCCACAAAAATGCCACAAAAATGCCACAAACAACATTTCACGAAACAACCAACCTTGAAACCTCCAACATTTCGGAAAAAAACAAAAAAACAGCGGGTTTTCCCCTTAAGTTGCCCCGCGTTCCGGGAGCATCCGGGACCTCCTTGACCTCTTCGGCTTCAGATTCCGAGCCATAGAGATCTGGGTCGAACCAGCTCCTGACAGCTCCATGGTTTAACATTGTTTAATTATGATTAGTTAAGATATTGGTACTGAAGATATGGATAATCCATTTCTATCTTGCTATACGGGTTTCTATCCCCACACCAGGTATCTTCGATTTTTTTCGAAATTTCAGCCCTTGGGATCTGAGGACATCTTCACACTGCCAAGGCGCGACTCCGACTTGGTGTCGACCTCCACGGGCTCAGGAAGCGCCTTTCTGAGGGGCAGGGGCCAGTGGAAATGTTGGAATTTGCCCTAAAAAATAGGGATGGAATCACTTCCTGGGCAATATTGGGCAATATTTGATGTATTTGATGGGGAAAGGATTGGGTTATATAATATATATATATATCATCAATTTGTGGGCGGGTACCCGGCAAAAATTGAAGATGAACCCCCAAAAAGTAGTTGAAAATTCTCATTTCCAGCACGAAAAACGTGAAAATCTTCTTCCAAACCTTATTTCACCATAGTTTTCTGGTAAACTAACATAGCTATGGCATAGATATACGGCCAGCACTTGTGGCCCCAAACTCTTTTGGGATGATTGTTGAGGGACGTGATTGTTGACCCTCTGGGGAATCGGCTATTTCTTTTCTCGTTGTTTTCAACACTTGTTACATAAACTCTAAAGAAAACCTACAAAAACCCTAGGCAAAACCCTAAATTAACCCTAAATTAATCCTAAATAAGAAACCCTAAAGAAACCCTGCAAAAAACGTATGAAAGTGGTTTTGTAGTGTGTAGCGCACGTGTTTTTTTTTTGTCAGATATAGATGGCCCCTTCGTGGCCCATCAAAAAATGGTGAATTTTCCATGGATGGGGTGACCCTTCAAGACATCTCCACAGTGGACCTGTTGTTCCTCGGTCTCTGGTGTCTCGAGCAAGCGCAACTCCTGAGGACAGGCCATCAAAGCTGATGTAATCTGCATCCTATGTACACATATATAATATAAATGAATATATATATATATATACGTATATATATATATGTATTATACATAGTGTAATTACAATTCTCATTCTGAAAAAATCATTTAAAAATCTTCGTATTCTGATTACTCTATGATTCTGCTTCAGATGATCCCCTGATGCCTTGATCCGGGTCATGTTCTCGGCACCCACATAGGCGTGCTCCGTCTCCGCTCGGAGCCAGCCCACGTCCTTTACGGCGCGGATGACCAGCGGATGACACTTCGATGATTTCACCGGCAAAAATAGGGGATTTCAAGGGAAAGAAGTTGGGAAACATGGGGATTTTGCATGGTTTTACCAACAAGAATCAGAATTTAACCCCCAAAAAAAATGAAATCACATGAGCTCACCAACAGAAATTAAGATTAAGATTCAGCAAAATCAGGAGGTTTCATACTCAAAAAATCTTGCAACTGGCAGAAATCATCAATTTTTATGGGAAATAGATATATATATATGATTATATATGTGTGTGTTTATTTATAAACTCAATAAATTCAGGATTTTGCAGCCGGGTTAGATGACAGGAGGGAACCCACACCCAATCATCCCCAGTAAACATCCATAGTTTACAACCTTCCAAAAAGACCCAAGAAATGGTGAAGAAATCAGCAGAAAATCCCGTCTCAGCAGAAAATCCATCCCATAGTCATCTCCCATAGTCATCTGCCATCACCCAACAAATTCCCATGAAATATCCATTAAATCCATTCAAATCCCCATCAAAAAAATTTGGGTGAAATCACCTCGGAATTTCTCCATGGCTTGGCCTTTTTTCCTCATGTCTTATCCATGCAGATATATAAAAAAACCCATTCATAAAAAAAAGTCGTGAATTGTGGATGATATGAATCATGATATATCCATTGAAACCTCCATAAATTTGGGCGATTTAACCCGACCTCGAGTTTCTCCGCGTTCTCCCGTGCTTCTTCCGCCCGTTGTCGCAGCTTCTGAGCATCACCGCGCTGCACATGGCAATGGCCCCGCGCGACTAAGGCCTGATGTTTCAGGGGAGCGACAGCAAGTTGGACAGTCTTGGGATGATGAAAAAAATCGTTGTTGGATTCTTAACCATTGAATTGTCAGTTACTGGATGATTGGTTCTTGGTTTTGGTTTTTTTTAGTTGTTACTGTAAGTGAAATATTATGGATATTGATCTAAGATGATAATCAAACTGGAGTGTTGGGATTGTTATTAAAATGCGACAATAATTCTATCGATAACTGATCTGGAGTATTGGGATTGTTGACTGACTATTGTTGAGAAGTCTGAATATTGGTCATTAGAATGTTAGAATGAGAAGAATATTAGAATATCTGCAACAGGGAACATTATCAATCCAAGATAATATTTCTCATAATGATTATCAATTATCAGTGATACTTTAATAATCTTTGATATATGTTGATGTGTACATAAATGATATGATATTGTCATGATCAAAGAACCTGGACCTTAAAAACAAAAACAAAAAAAAAAACGAAAACTGAACTCCTTCGCTGCGCCTCGCAGATGGCATCCAGGACTTCGAAAGCCTGCAGGTTTTTTAACAAATGTCAGGATTTCAGGGATGTTGATCAAAAATGACTTAAATCTGGTGATAAACATGATAAACCAAGTTCTTCATGGAGATTTGGATGGGGATATCATTGGGGATATAACTTATTAGATATCAGATTGGTAGTTATATAAGTTATATGATTGGGGATATTTGATATTGGGGATATAACTTATTGGCATATCAAATATCAAATATTGGGGATAACCAACAATCTGATTCCCCCCAATATATCCAATATCAAATACCTCACAATGGAAAGTCTCCACTGTAAAGCGGTGGTTCTGCTGGTGCGGGTTGGCACACTGCAGATTGCTCACCACTTGTCCATTTTTGTTGTTTCAATATGTCTTTCTGTTGCATCCCCCATCTCCATATCCTCATTGTCCATCATTTTACATGTCAAATGATCTTAACTTCACCTTGTCTTTGAGTTGTTCATCTTTTTTTGCTACTCAGTGTCATCTTTAAACCCTCGAAATCTCGTAAAAATCCCCAAAAATCTCCAAAAATCCCCACGAACCCCCACCTTTTCCCCTGCCAAAAATCTGCAAAACCCACCTTTTTGGAGGTCCACCAACCTCCCCCGGTGACTCCAGTGGTCGCCTCCGCCTGCCGTTGCAGATCGAAGTCGGCCGGCCACAGCACGTCGGGCGCCTCGCTTGCGAGCGCCAGAGCCTCGTCGCGCGGCGTTGCCGATGTCAGGGCGAATCAATATGGTGAATATCAATTGTTAACCCAACGATTATCCCACTATTATCCCACTATTATCCCACTATTATCCCACTATTATATGCCATGATATCAATGGGTTAACCATGGTGAATAATGGGAGAATCATGGGTGAATAGTGGGATAATAGTGGGATTCTCCATTCAATAGTGGGATTTCATGGCATTATTCACCATGGTTAACCCAACGATTATCCATGGATATTAGTGGAGAATCGTGGCATATTGATATTAATGGTGAATATCATGGCAATTCTTAACCCAACTATTGAATGGAGAATCAATATGCCATGATATCAATGGGTTAACAATGGTAAATAATGGGAGAATCATGGGTGAATAGTGGGTTAATAGTGGGTTAATACTGGGATGTTAATGGGATGAGAATAAGATATACCCACTGGTAAACTAACAGTTCGCTATTGAAGCCATGGCCATTGAGTTCGTTGATTTAGTCATTAATAGCATGGTGATGTTCCATAGTTTTTTGTATGTTTACCTGAGGGTACAAGATGCTGGGAAAGTGGGTAAAACAACAATAAACCATCCATGATTGGGACTGGTTGAAAACGACCTATTTATGGTGATGCTAATATAATCTGTTAGTAATAGGAATCTTTAATGGAAATATAATAGGGATATGTAAGAAATGTGGTAAAGTCAATCATAAACCATCCCCAAAATCACGTATAGGGGATTATTAAAACCTCCACTTACAGGTGGTTTTTCAATATGTTAGCCATATCTATACAGTATATATTATAGAATTTTATGTATACATATGGATAGACTATAATTATTCCATATTTTATGGTGTTCAACGAACCAAAATATGGGATATATATATATATATGGGATACTATTTACCATTAAGACCTATATTTATAATGGACTTTCCATGTGTATATATATATAAATATACGGTAACTACATTTAAATATACGGACTTTTAAATATGCGAACAGGTATTTTAGACTACCTCCGGAAGGTTTCCCTTGGCCCGCCAGGCCATTTAAACATACGGAATCCAATTCATTTAAACATACGGCAACTACATATAAATATACGAACTGGTATTTCATACTACCTCCAGGGCCTCGCGGTCTGGCCCGCCCTCCACATATTTAAATGTCGTTACCGAATATTAATAGGAATGTTTAATGAACATCAGCTATACATGGGAATACTTAATATGTGTATTTGGATAAATTCTCAATAGTTCACCAATCTGAATAGATCGGCCATTCTGGGATGATTCCCCTTATTAAACATCATATAGGTATGTACAGTAAGTTTTGAAATAATGGGTATTGAACCACCTGCTGTACAATGGGAATATGTCATGGGAATATATAATGGTAATTTAAACCCATGGGATGTAACCCGCTAAAATACGGAACATATGGATTTGTTTTGTAATGAGAATGACCATGATGACCAAGCAAAATATGGTCGCTACATAACCAAGCAACATATACAGTTTCTACTATATTGCTATGTAACAAAGGGCCTAAATCCCCATGAAAGAAAAACATTTTTTTTCAGTTCCAGTTATTTTTAGTTCCAGAAAAAATCCCATACGAATCACCATGGAAAATCATCATCAAATCCCAGTGAATCTCATTAAATACCCATAAATCATCATTCAATCGCCATATTTTTACCATGTTCATCAGCAGAATTGGATGATTTCCCCATAGAAAACAGCAAGAGTTTTCGCCATGGAGAACTTCCCAACTTCACCTGCTCCTCCTCTGCCATCGAAGCGATGCTACTGTGATGTTTTTTTTGGGTTGGCGGTCCATAAAAACTGTTGGGTGTTCAGAGATATTCTACGAAAAATGGTTATACTGAATATGTTGTGTGTTTTAATTACACTGAAGATCATTACTAATTACGTTACTTCGAAGATAATGATTTATTACACTGAATTCAATTAAGCATTGAACATGCTGCGTTTTTTTACAAAGTGGTGTTTCTTGTGCTGTATATATTGCGCCGACTCAGACACATTCATGGATTGATTGTTTTCGTTCGATTCAGTGTCTCCAATTTTCCGGGAATTCTTTGTTGGTGCCGGGCTTTGAACCGGCTGTGGCAGCGATCAGTCAGCTGAGTCGCGGAGAAAAATACGTGTGGCCCAATGCCATAGGTCCCAAAAAATGAAGTCAAGTGAACCATGAAAGAGAAAGATCCTGAAACCTGAAACTTAAGCCACGACAAGCCACCACATGTTTTTTTCCATGTTTTTTCCATTTAACTGTTATGCCTTCCAATGCTCCCGAGAAACACAGCTGATTTCTCAATGGCCCAGCCCCACAGGTGCCTTCTTGGCGGGAGGCAGCCGTAACCACTCCGGAAGGAGCAGGGTCTGGCGGCAGCAGATGGGGCAGGTGGGTGGGGGAGAACCTTGGGGTAGAATCAACATTCAACGGGTCGGCAGTTTCATGGAATGATTCGATGGTTCTTCATGGCCCCCATGGGTTGTTGGTGCAATTCCCTTTTGGGCTATGTACATCATTGCTTTTGGGTTGATATCAACAATTGGTTCATCTTGATTTTCCATTAAATCATGTTTTTACGATTTTTATGAGTGGTTACCCTCTGGTGATTTAACAATATTTAACATAACTATGGAAAATCACTGTTTCTAATGCTGGACAATCAGCGCCACTGGGTGACTACCCTCACTACCCCCAGTTTGGTATCTGAAATCCCCAAAAGAATCACCAGATTTTTCGTCCGATCAAATCAGGATCGCTTTTCATCACCATCAAATCCCATGGAAAACACCATCAAATCCCATGGGAATTTATGGAATTCATGGAATTCAGTTTTAAAAAAACGGAGGATTCTCCCGATTTTCGCCCTGATCATCTCGTGCCGCGCCTTCTTTTTCAGTGCCTCCAGTGTGTCCTTGTCCAGGCGATAGCGATAGCCCTCCCGGTGAACCGTGATCGCCTCAGTCCCTAGAGATTTCTTATGGGATATTTGATATATGAATAATGGATCAATATTAGTTATTATGAATCATTAAAAATAATAATGGATTATAATAATGGATTCATATAATTATATATATATATTATTCCATTATTATGAATCAATAATATAAAACAAGAATCATCATTATATTAGTCATAGTGATTTTATGGGTTTATAATCATCAATAGTTCTTTCAATGGGATGATTTACCGATAGCTATGGATCAATAATTAGAATGATCCATCTATAATAACGATCAACAATAGTTGCTATTAATCGGTGTCACTATTATAACTATTATTGATGGTGATGATTTGATGGATACTAAAACCACTAGTAAAAACATCAACCAATAATGATTATCAATATTGTTAACCAGGGGGATTACCAGTAATCAATAGTATTGATAAAGGGACTCATCTGGTTGTAGTTCTTTATTTATAAGTGTTGAATATCATTATTAGTATCATTATTATGTATGATTATTGTTTTTGATGGATGATATTATAACCATCAAGCATTAGGTTGGCTATTGTTATTGATTTTCATGTTTATTGTTAAGCATCAGTGTTAAAAAATATCTGGATTTGAGATGCTAAAACCATTTAGGAGAAACATCAACGATTAGGGGAATATGGATAATACTATGGTTATTACTAACCATAATCTTATAGTTATTGCTAAGCAGTGTTGATGTTTATTGTCATTGATGATTACTATATTGATAATCGGATATTGAGGGATACTCGGGATAGTGCCGACGATTCTTGTTAACCCATGATGACGATTATGAAAATAATATTGTTGACTTGTGAGTTACTATAGTTGACTATTGATGTTGATTGATATTTTTGATTGTTAGCTTATCAACATTAGATTATTATTTGCTTGTGGATCACTATTCAGTGTTGACTAATATCATTGATTCTTATTGACCATCAACCGTAAAAGAAAACAATAATCTGGAATTACTATTGGGTGGATTCTGGGATGTTTTTTGATGGGTAGCCCAAATGACTATGATTATAGGATCGGATGGGATGGATAATAATTCTCCCATCTGGCTTCATTTTGTTATGAAATACTGTTATTCATAAGAACACCCTATGAAGATACTCTGGAAGCATGATGAAATATACTGTATTCATCCTATGTTTCTTCGTTATAATCTATCCACATTGGCGAATTCTGGGATACTTGGCCTGGTCGTCAGCTCCATTACCTGAACAATCCCCAGTTGAATACGTGGCCATGAACTTTATGTAACAAACATAAGAACAATAGTTTTTAACCAAACAAGGTGTATGGATATTTTTTGTGGTAAAGCTAATGCCATAAACCATGAACTGTCCCAAGTAGATATATCCAGTATATGATATACTATGGTTCTTCCTGACTACCATAACAAATTATAAGTAATAGCATGAGCTGCCGCGGTTCATCCTACTTGCAAAGTAGGAATGCTGAGGAAATATCTCAGTTCATCTGACTTACTATGCATCTTCATTATGTGTTTCTTTAGGAATTACCCTCTGGCAATTTGTTACATAGCTATTGAACATGACCATAGAAATAGTGGAATTTCCCATGAAAAATGGTGGATATTTCCATAGTTATGTAAACGTTTACCAGAGGGTAGTGCAAGTAGGCACTAATCCACTTGCAATTGGGGTCATGATCTCCTGAGTAGGATGAACCACCACTTCTAATCGAATATTGCCCTCTGGTAATTTGACTATGGAAATTGGCCCGTTTGTAGATGATTTATGATGCCTTATGTACCTATTAAAATAGTGATTTTCAATAGCTATATTAAATAACCGGAAGGTATAACCCATAATCACCCATTGTAATCCCATCATTTACACATAATCTACTGTTCATGATTGTTTTAATCCCATCCTCCCCCCCCAAAAAAGAACTCTTGCGGGGTTCCCATGTGTGTCATCAGCCCCGGACGGGCTGGTCGCCATGGACTGAGAAGCAGCGACTGTCGGGCCTGAAAGACATCGAATTTACGAGGCCGTCTGTAGAAGATCCGAGCAGAAATCAATGGATTTCACCAGAACATATGAAAAATCAACCAGCCAAACAGTGTAGTTCACCCGCAAAAAAATTGGATGTCAACAGCAAAAAATTGGATTTCACCAGCAAACAATAGGATTTATATAAATCAAATTAAATCAATATATTCACTATAAATCAATCAATCATTTAATCTATCTATCTATCTGTTGTGAAAAATTGGTACATTTACCAGCCCTGATTTGACATGATTTAACTGACAGACGATGGAAGTTTAAGTCTTGACAGTCTCTCTGGATTGAGCATTCTTTCCTGCGCTTTCAGGACCGATGGCAGAATGAAAGAATCTTCAAGATACGAAGCAATACAGCACGATCCTGCTGCACACCGCATCGCAAGACGGAACCAGATGGATCCAAATCACCAATCCTGTTCCCAAGTTCTGTTGGTGAGAGCCGCTGACATCGAGTGTTTCTCGAGAATCCCAGCTCTGCCACAACAAACTTTCGACAAACACAACAAAAAGCATGCCCAGCCTGTCAAACACAACAAAAAGTCTCGAAGACCAGGAATCGGAGCCAAAGTACTACTGGACGACCAGCGATATTAAAGAAATGGTTTCGAGGAAATAGCATGAGAATCGTTGAGAATATTCAAAATGCCCCAATCAATCAGAATTGTTGGAACACCTTGATGCCGTTGCAACCAGTCTGAAGCTGCAACCTGGGGGTTCCAACAAATTCACTGAGATCATAGTCTTACGATTCTGAAAGTGGATGGGTAGTCACAAGTCAGTTTAAACCGACCAGAACCTACCAGCTGGAATTTGTCTACTTTTGCTCTTGGTTTTGTCCGTGTTTAACAGTCTGGGAATTCAAGGCGGTCCGCATCTCTCTGACTTTTGTCACAGGATGGAAGCTTGCCCAAAAACAGCAAACATCGGACGGCACTGTACAGGGAGGGGTTTCCTCCCTAAATGCCGCGGTCAGAAGACCATGTTCATCCCAAACGGCAGCGCAGCACTTCAACTTCTTTTTCGAGCGAGGCCCCAAAGGCATCCCTCCGCACGATCAAGCCAAGAAGTGCTGATAGAGGCATCCGGCTCAAGGTCCGATGTAGCGCGCGATCCTCACTGGGAGCCTGTGTTGAACCGACTTCCCCTTCCAGCATCTCAATGATGTTGGTAGCTTCAATCTGGGCCACTTCAATAGAACGACGAATATGTGGCAAGAGCACCGCCAGAAGTTCGCCTATCTCCTCAAAAACATCAAAAACCAAACAAGACGGTTTTTGTCATTTACATAAGGTTTCTCAATGCCCACCCATGTTTGTCATCTTGCTAGTGACTTCCACGCCCAATGCAACTGTCAGCTGCAAATCAACTGCCAATGCACTCACTCAGCCAAGGTGTTTTCCATACCCTTGCTGCTATGTGTCCATAGGTGTTTCGCCGCTGCTGCCATCTATATAATGTCAGCAGCTGTGCCCAAGGAATTTAGACCGTTGATGGCCCACTGTGTTGTGTCTTGTTTTGAAATGTTTTCTATTGTTTTCCAGAGTCCCGACCACTGCCAATCGTTTTGCAGCAAAAGCGCTTTGATTGACCGAGATGGATGCTATTGTCAAAGGAAGTTCAGCAGTCTACACTGCGCGACACGGACAGTGGAAATGTGACAACAATACATCACCACAACAAAACATCACCACAACAAGACATCACCTCAACAATACATCACCACAACAATACATCACCACAACATTACATCATCACAACCATACACCTTCACAACAATACAGCACCACAAAAATACATCACCACAACAATACATCGTCGCAACAATACATCACCACAACAATACATTGTCGCAACAATACATCACCACAACAATACATTGTCGCAACAATACATCGTCGCAACAATACATCATCGCAACAAGACATCACCACAACAATACATCACCACAACAGTACATCATCACAACAATACATCATCACAACAAGACATCACCACAACAATACATCACCACAACAGTACATCATCACAACAGTACATCATCACAACAATACATCATCACAACAATACACCATCACAACAATACACCATCACAACAATACATCATCACAACAATACATCACCACAACAATACATCACCACAACAGTACATCATCACAACAATACATTATCACAACAATACATCACCACAACATTACATCATCACAACCATACACCTTCACAACAATACAGCACCACAAAAATACATCACCACAACAATACATCGTCGAAACAATACATCACCACAACAATGCATTGTCGCAACAATACATCGTCGCAACAATACATCATCGCAACAATACATCATCACAACAAGACATCACCACAACAATACATCACCACAACAGTACATCATCACAACAATACATCATCACAACAATACACCATCACAACAATACAGCACCACAAAAATACATCACCACAACAATACATCGTCGCAACAATACATCACCACAACAATACATCGTCGCAACAATACATCATCGCAACAATACATCATCACAACAAGACATCACCACAACAATACATCACCACAACAGTACATCATCACAACAATACATCATCACAACAATACACCATCACAACAATACAGCACCACAAAAATACATCACCACAACAATACATCGTCGCAACAATACATCACCACAACAATACATCGTCGCAACAATACATCATCGCAACAATACATCATCACAACAAGACATCACCACAACAATACATCACCACAACAGTACATCATCACAACAATACATCATCACAACAATACACCATCACAACAATACAGCACCACAAAAATACATCACCACAACAATACATCGTCGCAACAATACATCACCACAACAATACATCGTCGCAACAATACATCATCGCAACAATACATCATCACAACAAGACATCACCACAACAATACATCACCACAACAGTACATCATCACAACAATACATCATCACAACAATACACCATCACAACAATACATCACCACAAAAATACATCACCACAACAATACATCGTCGCAACAATACATCACCACAACAATACATTGTCGCAACAATACATCATCGCAACAATACATCATCACAACAATACATCATCGCAACAATACATCATCACAACAAGACATCACCACAACAATACATCATCACAACATTCACCACAACAAGACATAATCACGCTGTGCGGGGATGTCCTCGACCGCGTCCTCCATTGTAAAGTAGAACTCAAGGGTGCAGATCGCAGTGGAATTGCTGCGTTAACGTGATGTTTGGACACTAGATTTTTACGACACCCGCTGTTTTTTTCGCACAAACTGACTCCCGGCGTCGACGCACGGAACCTTGTTTGCACGACGGGTGCAGCTGTGACAGTTTTGCGTTCATTTCGCTCCTGCCATGGTAAAGTGCACTTTCAAGTCAGTCAATGAGATGATTGACTGCGCTGTGCCAATGGGTTTGGTGATCTTGGGTTGCAGTTTGCACTGTAATGGCTGCATGCATCTTGTTGACTGCCGGGAAGCAGTTGTAGTGTGATTTGCAAGGCATTGCTGGCTGATCGCGGTGGAATTGTTGCGTCAAGCTGATGTTTGGACGTTGGAAATCGCACGAAACCATGTGTTTTCTCGCGCAAAGCGGCTCCCGGCGTCGATGGGGGGAACTGCGTCTGTGCGACGGGTGCGGTTGTGACAGTTTTGCTTCATGTGGCTCCTGCCGTTGTAAAGTGCGCTTTCAAGTCAGTCAATGAGATGATTGGCCGCGCTGTGCCAATGGGTTTGGTGATCTTGGGTTGCAGTTTGCAGTATGTAATGGCTGCATCTTGTTGATTGCCGCGGTGGTCAACGCGGTTGTAGTGTGATTTGCAAGGCAGTGCTTGCAGATGGCAGTGGAATTGCTGCGTCAAGGTGATGTTTAGACGTTGGAAATCGCACGGAACCCTACGTTTCTTCGCAGAAAGGTTGCTTGGTGCTGCTGCGTGTGCAATACTAGTGTCTTTTGCAGCTGCACATCATAAATCGTATTGGAGTGGCTGCATCAAGGTTGCGATAGTAGCTTGTCAGCAGATTTTTTCAATTTTCGGCGCTTGTGATTTTTCTTTTCAAACTCCTTTTAAAAAGTGCTTCAAAATCGATTGTTTGTCGCCTTGGTGAGATTCGGTTTTGGAGCTGCAATTTGTGTTGCCATTGCGCGTAGTTCCTTGGCGGTTTGCAACTCAGTCTCCAGATAGATAGATAGATAGATAGATAGGTATGTAGATAAATAGATAGGGAAAAGATAAATAAACGGATAGCTAAAGAAAAAGAGACGTAGATGATAGTAGCTACATTTTGCAGACGGTGGTTCGACTCGGGGGTGAACCACCACGAAGGACGGTAGGTCGACACGGCGGTCGCCTACCAATAAGCCACCCTGTGCAGCGGGGAGGGGCTGCACACTGAAACACACAAACACATGAAGACAGACGCAAAAACAAAGCGATGATTAAACAATAATAAGATGCCTAAACTCTGTTGCACGGACGATATGGCAAAGAGGTAAAAATGAGATGTCAAGAGTGTAGAGATGTAGAGAGCAGAGATGTGAAGAATGTAGAGATGTGAAGAAAGTAGAGAAGTGAAGACCGCAGAGATGTGAAGAATGTAGAGATGGCTAGAGAGTAGTGATGTGAAGAAGGTAGAGGTGTGAAAAAAGTAGAGATGTGAAGAGAGTATAGGTGTCAGGACAGTAGAGATGTGAAGACGGTAGAGAGGTGATGAAGAGTAGATAGTTGAAGAGAGTCGCGAAGAGAGTAGGGAACTGAAGAAAGTAGGAAACAGAATGGGAATAGCAGTGAAGAGAGTAGGGGAGTGAAGAGAGTAGGGAAAGAAATGTCAGCAAGAAAAAGAGTAGGCTCCTGAGCTGTCAGAAAGAGAGGGGCTGTCAGGATTCAAAGATGACAAGCGCAAACCGGATGGAGAGAAAGTGATCATCAGAAAAGGAAGTTGAGAGAGAGAGAGAGAGAAATGTCAGGGAGAAAAAAGACGTCCAAACAACAAGCAGGCAACCAGAAAATCTGTCAAGATTCAACGATGACAAGCGCAAGCCAGATCAAGAGACAGTGGCAACATCAGGCGAAGATGTCGAGAGCAAAAAATGTCAAGGACCAAGACTTCCAAGAGATCACGGAGTCGACGGCCGTGCCAGCCAGGCGGTCAGGAGCCATTCCTATACGCTCTCCCTTTTCTTTACAGAGGGACACCCTGGGAGTGCACTTTTTTATTTTCAAAACTGCAATCACATTAAAGCTTAAGCTACAGATAAAGCTGTGTTAATGTCCACTAGAGAGCATATATTGCTTGAAGAAGTGTCCAGACACAATTTCTTCAGAATATGCGAGATGACTTCAACACAATTACAACATCCCCATACCCGCCAACAAATGCAGTATTCAAAACAAACATATCCTCCGGAATAAGAGTAATCTTCCTTTGGGGCAATGCAGTGTGTTTTTGCAGGGACAATATCCAAACAAAATATGAAGTATTCCTTGAACAGTTACACCATCCCCTTTGAAGGAGTGCAGTGTGCATTTCCAGATCTCTAACCCTCATTTCAAAGGAGCAGTACCCCTTTTAGAAAAGTCAATATTTCTGCATGATATATGCAGTATTATTGACATAGGGAATCCCTTTCAAAAGTGCAATATGTTTGAAACTGTGAGCACTACCATATGTTCAAACAATGTTTGATTGTCTTAAGATCTAAAGATGCACATTCTTCAAATTAGAATATTTTTCAAGAGGGAAGCTGCCTACACCAAAGCGTGTTATTCCCAAAATATGGTTCGTTGTCTTGGAAGAATATCACATTATGCATTCAGTACAATTATGTGCAATTGTGAAAGACATATCTTACGTGCTCACATGTGACATGTGTTCTTCATTTAAGAAAATATATTGTGAAAAGGGCATTGCATGTACCATGTATAGTTTTTTTTGATTTTGGTTTTGTTTTGTCATTGCAGAAAAATCAGCAGAAACCGATAATGGTTACACATATATTTTCTTAAATGAAGAACACATGTCACATGTGAGCACGTAAGATATGTCTTTCAAAATTGCACATAATTGTACTGAATGCATAATGTAATATTCTTCCAAGACAACGAACCATATTTTGGGAATAACACCCTTGGTGTAGGCAGCTTCCCTCTTGAAAAATATTCTAATTTGAAGAATGTGCATCTTTAGATCTTAAGACAATCAAACATTGTTTGAACATATGGTAGTGCTCACAGTTTCAAACATATTGCACTTTTGAAAGGGATGCCCTATGTCAATAATACTGCATATATCATGCAGAAATATTGACTTTTCTAAAAGGGGTACTGCTCCTTTGAAATGAGGGTTAGAGATCTGGAAATGCACACTGCACTCCTTCAAAGGGGATGGTGTAACTGTTCAAGGAATACTTCATATTTTGTTTGGATATTGTCCCTGCAAAAACACACTGCATTGCCCCAAAGGAAGATTACTCTTATTCCGAAGGATATGTTTGTTTTGAATACTGCATTTGTTGGCGGGTATGGGGATGTTGTAATTGTGTTGAAGTCATCTCGCATATTCTGCAGAAATTGTGCCTGGACACTTCTTCAAGCAATATATGCTCTCTAGTGGACATGAACACAGCTTTATCTGTAGCTTTAAGCTTTAATGTGATTGCAGTTTTGAAAAAACCATAAAAAAGTGCACTCCCACAGTGTCCTGCTCTCTTTCTTTATAGGTTCTTCCCTCTCTCGAAACTTCCGTCACCTGGCTTGCCCGGGCTGTACTTTCATACGGATTAGAGGTCAAAAAATTATCAGAATGAAGTTGTCTGTGCTCTAGAAAAACAAAAACACATATGGATCGATGACTGACTAGCCCAACATAAAACACACAGTCTGTTCGTGGAGATAATTATATTCTCTAGGTTGAGTTTGCAAGACAACTTGGACCCATTCCTTTGCATCCTTCAAGGCTACCAGGCTACCAGATCGCACAGTTGTGGAATGTTACTGAGATTTGGGGGTTCTCCCACATTTATACTGCGCTTCAATGTGCAGCGACAAACAAGAAACAGAGCAAAAGAGACCAAGGGTCCATGTGGTTCAACTGACGCCGCTGGGGTTTGTATGGGGTTACATAGCGAGGATGCTCGTGGTGGCAAAAGCTACAAGCATCTCCCATTTCGCAGACTCCCTTCGCGAAGCGGATGCAAGCCCGGCGGCAGAAGACTGGATGACCGCGGCTGCCTTCGTTGGCCGAGCGAGTCGGCTGTGGTTCCAGGGACATCGGGGACATCTGCGACTCCGACTCATCAAAGGTGAGGACGCATAATTTGTCCTCCGACTCAGCAACATAGCTGGCAGCTTGCGTCTCCTTTTCCTCTATCTGCTCAGTAGCATCTCCCGTGCCACCAAGTTGTGGAATTGGTTCCTCATAAACAAAGTTGAAGTATCGGAGGGCTGCCATGACAGGGTCGCTGAAAAAACCCATTGCGCATCTGGAGCCTGCAAAG